TATATAAACTGGGGGCAGTTACCTGGAAGGACTAGATTGCTGCTCGGGTCGGGCTGGGTATAGGTTGGTGTGTGCTGAGCAGTTGTAATCTCTTCCCTTGTTATTTCCCTTATTATTATTATTATTGATGGTAGCAGTAGTGATTTGTGTTATACCTTCGTTACTGGACTGCTCTTATCTCAAACCATGGAAGTTACATTCTTTTGATGCTCCTCCCCATCCCTCTGGGAGCCAGGGACAGGAAGAAAGGGGCAGAGTGAGAGAGCGTCTGCGTGGTTCTGAGTTACCAGCTGGGCTTAAATCACAGCATCATGTCTTGCTACTGCCTTAGCAATAAAATGTAGACTCATTGTGTGAATAGAGCAGTCATGCCATCATGAGGCAGTGTCCTGCAGCCTTTTCCCAGGCCTGTCATTGTGAGAAATCCTTGACTGAGTAGCTTTGTGTTTAGAATTTTAAAATGCAGGCACGCTGTTAACGTGCTCATAAAGATTTCTTCACAGTTGTCTTTATCACAGCTCCTTGTCCAGAGAGTCAAGAAAATGACTTTCTTGAGACTGCCTCAGGAAAAAATTTGAAACTGCAAGTATTTTCTCCAGCTGACGGAAGTGACTAACTTCAGAAGGGTTCTGGAAAATCAGGTGGTATTGCAGTGCATGGGCTCTCCCTGGAAGTTCAATAGGTTTGCTGTATCTTGCGGGGCTTGCCCCTGTTAAGTCAGTTTGTATTCTCTGTCTTTCTAGCTTTGCTGACTTCTTTCAGTCTAAAAGGACTAGATTTCTTGCTGAAGGAAGGTTGAACAAAAGATCAAAGAAAGCATTATAACTCTAAAAACCTGCTTCTTGTGATAATATGCTTTCAGTTACTCTTTGATTCTTTGCTTTTGTTTCTTTCTAAAATCAAAGAAAAACCCAACTAAATGTATTGAGTAAGTCTTACAGTATGAAGGGAGTGGAATTTGTTCTTTTTTGAAAAGTTGGATGTTGAGATACCAATACTTCAGTACTGCTTTTGGAAGCAGAATAATTGTTATCATTCCCCAGTCTGGTGATGGCTCATTATACAATCCCTTATCTTCTGTTGTAGTGTGGGTGCTTGGGCTAAACTTGTTGTACAGACAGAAGCACTAAAACAAACAGAACCTTGAGATTTGAGGTTATTTTCCACTTAAACCCATCTGTTGTTTTCCATTTTTAAGTCTAGTTACTTGCTTTATGAGGAAGTGCTGAAATTCAAATTCCTTAGAGCTTGAGAAGCTGAACATACTTGGAGTGAAAAATTAACTACTGATCAAAAGTTTTTTTTTTAATGTTTTTGGTTTGTTTAGGCTTTGGTTTTTATGTTTGTTTGTTTTTTAAGTAGAAGTAAAGACAACCTTCCTCTTGAGGTACAAGAATGCATCAATGAAAAAATGGTTTAGAGCAGTCTTGTGCTTCTCTTCTTTATTGTGATGAATCAGTGTGACCACATTCTTTACACAACAGTTTTAGGAAGTCCAGTGTCTAATGCTTTCTCCTCCTTTTTTGCTAGTTCTTTAAGGGTCTGTTTTATTTAAGGTGTATCTATTTCCAAAACATACAGATGTTTTGTCTGCTTGCTCGAGTTGCAGTGTGTCTGCAAGGTCAAGTATTAACTGCTGATGAGGGACTTTTGCACTGAGCCAGACCCTGACATGGAAGCTGAAACATCTGCTTGTCTGAATATTTTCTTTTGTTTAATATTTATTAAACAGATTTTAATTGAGTTGTCTTCCAATCTCGGATCTTCTTTACTCGTTTGGTCTGCAGTTAAAATTTAGTTCATCAGTTTGTAGTATCCTACTTATTGCTATGACAACAGCCTGCCAAACAGACTTTTAATATGAGGAGTTGGGGTAGAGTGAGAAGCTGCTTTGCAAGCAAGGAAGTGTTCTTGTTCAGCCAATTAATGATGTCCCACTTAATGCTCACAATTCTAGTCTCTTTGATAATTTGTAGGCAGGGGCTATCTGCCTCTCTTCTGCCTGCTGCTTTGGTACTCTTAAGGAGTAGGTGTGGTAGGGTGTGAAACCTCAGCCCATTGGTGAGGGCATACCTGTGCCAGGGAGGTGCAGTGTGTCCCTGGTTAGTGCACTCACTGTTGGTGGTGCAGCAGAGCCCTTCTCCTGCTCCTTGTGCATGCTAATGGAGCTGGGCTGGTTGCACTGTCTGGACACTGCCTGTAGACAGTGGGAGCCAGCTAAGGGGAAATAAAATAGCTTTATTTTGAAACCTCTCTTCGTATCAGGCTGCCAACTGTGCTTTCAGGAAGGCTGGATTGTGTCTGAAATCATGTTGACTTAACGGAGAATGTCAAACTGAGGGTGTGTTTCTATACTTGCCTGAAGCAAATACAAGTCCATACTGCTGCCAGGAAGAGGCTCTCGCCTTCACTGGTTTTCTGCTTCGGACCTGTTGCAAAACTGTGCTGCTCATGGACTGCACAGTCTGCAAGATGAGGATCTTCACAGACCCTGTTACACTGTTGAAGTTGTTTGGCTCTGTTCCCACCAGCAGGCTGCTCTTTCTGTTCTGCTTCATCCCCAAGGAGTGTTTCAAACATTTGTGTGCCTGCGTTTTTCCTTAAATCATCTTTTCATCCTGAAAACCAAACATGCCTTAAACAGCTGTGGCACACAGAGACTGTGCAATACATGTTAGGAGAGGGATAAAGACACAATCTTTTTCAGGTTCAATAAGTTGCCTGGCTGTCAGAAATGTATGCTATAGTTCAGTATCTGCTTTACAGACAAATGGGAAACTCTTTGTTTTAATGTGTGTGTGTTACTGTTGTGTCCAGAACATGGATTGCAATGTTTTGAATAGCTTAGGTGAAATTAGAGAAAATAACATGGAAATCTATGTCAGAATTCCTAGGTATCAAAATCTGCACAAGCATGATGTTAATTCAGAAATTACGAATAAATCGTGACACAGTGGAATTATAATTTCTCAACATGACTTAAATCACAGTGGGCTAATTGCAGACAATCATGTTTGAAACTAATACGTTATTTTTCAGAGAGGCTAGTGTTCGCTGGCATATTGTCTGTTTAGGGTTTTTTTCACTGCTGATTGTGCTAGGTTCAGATTATGACGAGCTGACTGATACTTTAAAACCCCACAAAAACCCCAGCAACCCAAAGGTCATTTTCAGTCTATATAAATTTAAGTTTTCAGATGCTGACAGTCTAGTCAGCAAGCTTATAAAGCAGATTTTAACACAAGGAGCAAAAGAAATTCCTACTGCAAGCTAAGCTGAAGACTCCAAAGCATCAGTGGACAGCAGTGAGCAGATAGTTCATGATAAGTGTTGAACTTGCTGTTCATAGCATCTCCGCGTCTAGTAAATATATTGCTTTCTGTAGGACATGTCACCAGCTTGAATAACTATTATCTGGCTTTTAGGGTATAAGGCACAGTGCTTTGAAGGTCTGTGTTCTCAAACTTAGAAGATGATGAAGTTAACTACTTTAAGAGACTGGGAGACAGATTGGCTTTGGTAAATATATTCATAAAGCTAGAGAAACACAGTGTCTCAGTTGAGCTCATACTACAGTCAGTTCCTGGTAAAGGCTGGACTTGTTAAATATGTAAGAGTTCATGGAAATACACTTCCTCCTAGCACATAAAGAAATTCAGTGTCAGGGTTCAATTTTGCCCGAAGAAAATGTATTTCTAAAGTGAAGAAGAGATTTAGATGATCATGGGGTTAATTGTCTTTTTGATTCTAGAGGAGGCTCCTCAGTGTTGTGAATCGATGCTCAAACTGATGCATCTCACTGCAACTGTAATTGCTAAGTAATTGTGAGTGGTAGTGAGCAGCTGGGTACTGAACACATCCATGTCTATGCGATCACAGCCGTTTGCTCCGTTTTCAGTGTTACTGTGCATTGAGCTTAGTGATAGCTGGCATGCACCAAAGCTGCTGCCCTGACAAGTTGCATGCTGAGGCATGTTCATACATTGGGGCTGCAGTAAAAGCACTTTGCTGCTTGTTTGTACATTTCTGCCCAGGTGCACCACTTGCAAGTTGTCATTAATTCCCTAGGTTTGTGTGTGGTTTTACTTCCAGGTGTCATGGGGACAGAAGCGAGGCAGTTCACTGTGACAGTTCTCATAGCCGAGATTCGTTTCCAGTTATCATAGCTACTATAAGCCATGCTCATCAATCAGCCTTGTGTCACATGCTGTACAAGCACAGGGGGAAGAATAAATTCTTTGTTTCAAAGTAATTTTAATGCTAGAAGATGAATGAGAATGATCTGCTGCAAACTGGATAGCAGTCATTTGTGTGGGGGATTTGGGTTTTCTTTAGTTTCTTTGTTGACATACAACAAAGGTAGGTTTAAAGCAGGGTAATAGGTAGTTTTGTTAATCATTTCTGTAACTATGAGGGAGAACAAAACAGTAGTACTAGCTGGATTTAAAGGTAGGTATCATAATTTCTCTTATAAATGAAAGTTGAAAAGTAGAGTATGTGTTGCCATGACCTTTGTGTGTGTGCAGGAGAGCAGTTTGATGATGGGGAAGAGAAGAACTGCCTAGTTTGTGAATGCGATTTTTGCATTAGAGTTCTGAGAAAGTATGAGAGTGGTTAAATTCCAGATATCGAAACAAGACAGCAGGCATTACAGAAGTTTAAGGGCTGATACAGCTGGAGCTAAAAGTTCAGCAGAGTAGCAGACAGAAAAGTCTGTGTGTTAAGTAACTGGGAAAAGCTGTGAGATTTAGATGTTGTCTGGAAGTACAGATTTAGGCAGATCCTGATCAGCTGGCAAAAATGCTTTTTATCCACTGCATTTACCGCTTTACAGTAACGACTGTGATAAATCCAATAATAGTGTATTAAAGCTGCTTTCTCAGGAGTCTCTTTCTAGAGTTTGTGGTAAAAGCAGGAAGAGTTCAAGCTATTGCGTTTGTGTATTATTAAATCAGTACCATGTCTTAACTCATGCTCCTTATTTTTTTTTCCCCTTTCAGATTTTCTATTTTGTACATACATTGTTTTGTATATACTGTATATGATGACTTCGGTGGGCAGTGAACGTACCCGGGGCACTCGGGACAAAGCGCAAATTTCAACCACACAGCCAGCACAACCACAGAAACAAGTAGTACAGGTATGTGATACTACATAATTAATTTGAGTTGAAAGTGAGCATGTATTTTTCCCCTGGGTCAGTAAAAACTGAGAAAAGGGAAGAAAAAAAACCATGGTCTATTTTGGAAGAGTATGTTTGTATTTCTCTTCAATTACTCAGTAATCCAGGACAGCAATAAGTTATTCCTGTGTTCTTGTCTCTAAAGGAGCTTTGTGTTTTTCAGCAATATTTCCCATCAGTGGGGAATTCTGTGCTTATGTCTGTGTCAGGATTTCTGTCCTGTGACTTCAATGTCCTCAGATATCAGTTCTTCATATACCAGCCTCCTGATTTGGGGGGATTTCTGGTCAATAGAGCAATTTGAGTGGGTGAGAAAAGTGTAGTTAGGTACATGCTATGTTCTGAGGTGTGATTCAGGGTATCTGAAAGTTGCACAATCCTAAAATTTTTGTGCAGTGTCCTCACAAAGTGAAAAGAAGATGGTCGTCCACTAGCAGATGAAACTTGTTTTGAGCATTTGTGAGACTGAAATTACCCCATTGTCTTGATTCTCAGTGGAAGAGTAGTTAAATCATGTGTTTGCTGGGTGACAGAGAGTGCAAAATGTCTCTGCTCCTGGCAACTAATTACTCTCTTGTCAGGTACTCCTCAAATTTGGACTCGGTTCAAGAATTGCCTCAGTTTGCTGCTTGCAGAGAGTGTATCAGCCTAGAGGTGCCCCTCTGGGAAATTGTCTTACTGTTTTCTAGACTGATCTTCATCATGGATGGGCTTCTGTTCTGTTTTGTACAGTATTAATTACGTGACCTCAAAGCCCTTATCATCTCCTTGTGTTGCAGCGCTTTGCACAGTGGTGATTTATGCTAATGTGCAAATTTAGAAAGTGATTTTCAACAAATGAAGTTGAATTTGGTTTTGTTTTCTAACAAGTGAGGCTGCAGGATTATAGCAAGAAGGTTGACAGCAGTGGAGTATTCTGCCCAGTTTAGGGTTCTCTGGCACAAGAAAGACATTGGCAAATGGAAGGAAGTCCAGAGAATAGCTGTGGGGATGGGACACGCTCTCAGTGGGAGGTTGCACAGAGTGTCACTGGAGGACCACATTTTTTTATTGTTTGGATATCAGAGGGACCTTCCTGCTTAGTCAAGCTTTACAGATCAATAGAAATGTGTGGGGTTTTACTGTTCAATCAACAATGATTAATTTTTCTGAATGCAGAGTAATATTTCTTTCCCAAATGGAGATTTCATTGTCATAATATATTGATCATCATTTAGGTTATTTGAGAAATTGCATCAAAGTTCTTTTGCATTGCTTCTGCATAATAAGTATACCAATTTTTAAAAATATCTGGGCATATTACTGTCACGTAATTTTGTGTTTTGCATACTTCTGCTTTCTGATAGTTCAGAGCTGTTAGTTAAAAGTCTCCTGCACTGTTACACCACAAAGACTTCTTGAAAGGTTGAGTAAAGTTTTGGTTGTCTTAAGGTGTTTCTGTTTTCTTAGCTGCAATTGAAACTTAGCTATACTCTTTTATAGGGTACTACAAAGTTACTTGTAACAGTGGTGACTTAAAGAAGAACCACTTGGTGGGAAAAAAAAACTCAAAACTTTTTGTGACTCTTATTTGGTGTTTGTGAAGTCAAAACATGACTTTGGGGGTTTTGTTGTTTTGGTTTTCTGTTTCTTCTGAATTGCCTGTTCCGTCTGCATAATAATCCACTGGCATAAATATTAGTGATAATGTACCTGCTCATTTCTAAGGTCACTGCTTACATGGGTAAACTGAAGATAGTGTCACATATTTGATACTGTTATCTTTGACTTGAAACAAACATGTCGGTTTACAGAAAAAATTTAATCAATGTCTTCCTGTTTTGGGTCAAGTATGCTGTGATGTCTCTACAGAAATTACACTGTCAGAGTGTTTTTACTCTGGGTATCTTTAAGGGAAATCTCTTCACTAGCTTCAGAATTGCAATGGGCCTTAGAAAGCTGAAGTCAGAGTAAGAAAATGGATGAACAGGCTAATTCCTGAAACTATCAGACCTTGCTCTCTGCTGGGTTCTCAGCAGATATGAAGGAAGATCTCCTTTTCACAGAGCACTGCACTGACTGGGAAGCTATTGTGGAGGCTGGACCAGGGCTGGGGTAGGGAATTCCAGAGCAGGCTCTCTTCTGTGTTACTGAGTGATGTATGATACTGTCAGCATGATGCTTTGAAAATGTGAAGCAGTGCGGAGTACTTAGTTACGAATGTTACATATGCTAACTGGCTTGGAGCAGTCGCCTTCTGAGCACAGCACATATCACTTCCCTTAAGGAACTGGGACAGCTGGAGTAACTTCTCAGAAAATAAGCAGCTGGTGGTGTATGGTGGAGTAATTTTTAGACTCTTCTCAGCATTTACAGTTCGAGACCTTCTCTAGAGCTTGTGTTTGTGGTCAACTCCAAAAGCAAAGCAGTTTGAGCCTGATTAAGTCTGAACCCGAGGCACAAAATTTCACATAGGTATCCTCTAAAGTGAGACTGCAAAACGTGAGATTCAGCCAACTGCCTAGAATGAATCTTTTCCTTCAAGAATTTCCGTGGATGAGTTGGGCTCCTTCCCAGTGAAGAAGTCTTCTGCAGCACATTAACTTCCATTTCCTGGCTTGCTTCTTGATCAGCCTTCTCTGGCCTGAGGTGAAAGCCTCTTCTGTTAGAGCAGAAATCAGATTAGGCCCAGGATCCTGTAGTATACGGTTATCTTTGGTATTTTCATGGAAGTGCAGTTCAAGTAGACTGCAACATGACACTGTGAAGAGTGACCTGTATGATGAGACATGAGTGTTACTGAATTGCTTGCTTTCTGGGGAGGCCATGGCTTATTTGGATTTATGATACTTTACCACATCCATCTATTTTATTTATTTCAGCTTTTGGATGTGCCAGCATGGATTTGTGGTCCAGAAACACCAAATATTTAAACAGTAGCAAGATCCTGCAGCAGTTTTCAGAGCCCACTATTCACTTATAAAGAAAATAAGTGCAGCTGTTCATGGGCAAAATCTTAAGGCATGACTCAGTCTTTTTAAGTGCTCGTAAGACTTCAGGCACTTTGTCAAGAGAGTCATGAAGATGATGTGAGCAGGAACCATCAGAGTTGTGGTTAATTTGGAAATACTGTTGCCAGTTTGTTATGATAAAACTCCAGTTCTGGAGTGGTAGATACTAAAGGCAAGTAGAAGTAATAATATCAAAGCATAGGCTTCTGTAATAAACCCTGTTTTATTATATGTTTGTCTATGTGGTGACCTTTAACTGTGGTTTACATGCTGGAACATGTTGAAATTGCTTCTGTCCCAGCTAACTTTTTAACAATAAAGTGGGCATAGAGGGCGATGTTAATCCCTTCCCCATAGCACCTCTGTGCTTGTTGCATGTGTTCTTTTTGAGAATCAGAAGGAAAAATAAGTAGTGACACTGGGAGATACTTTTAAAAATATATTGTTACCTTTTGTGTACTGTATTGGATGTTTGTGTTTTTTAGGCAACAGCAGAACAGATTCGCCTTGCTCAGATGATCTACGATAAGAACGATGCAGATTTTGAAGATAAAGTAAAACAAGTATGTTTCTTATGGTACAGAGGTTTTATAGCCTGCAGTAAGGTGCTCCAAAGGTGGCTTATATTTTGGAGCGTCTGTTTCTGACTTAGATGAAACCTTTTTCAGAAGGCTATAAGTTTAAATGTGAAAAGGTGCTTTTTATTGCACTGTAAAGTCTGTTTACAAGAAACTGTGGTTCTACACCTCTGGCTGTATAGTTATGTTGGCGTATTTTCCTTTGGTAGGCAAGCCTTTAAGCCCGAACTCACCTGTGCTGATGTCTCTTCCAGACTGTATCTCTGCAGTATGGGCCTGATGCCTAATGACTGTCAGAATAAAGAGTGCATTCAGCTTGTCCACATGTACTTGGATGTGGGAAAAATGTCACCTGTGTAAACTGGGTTTACAAGTATTTTGGGTGTTTTTCAGGAAAAGTAAAAATCTAATCATGGCTTGAAGGTGAAGTGTTTTTAAAAAAAAAAAGATAATTACCTCCCAGATCTGTGTCCATTAAAATATACAATTACACTGTTAAAATTAAATCTTATACTGTTTCCTCTATCATGTTGAGTTTTGGGTGAAATTCTCAAGTTTCCATTACCCAGTTATAGCTGAGCACATTAACTCAAGTGGTAGTGAGACTCTGGGTCTGTGTTCTGTTGTGGGTGCTGGTGATTTTGTCTTAGTGAACACATGATAGCTCATAAAGAACCTAGAAGTACACCAGGAAGGAGAGAAGAATTAGTGTGAATGCTTTAATGCACCAGAGGAGCAGGTTTTGTGATTTCTTTCCCTTTTTAAACCCCCCTGTGAAACATTATTAAGTGCTTTTCATCGTCGTTGTTATAAGTTTGCTCTGTTACTGTGCCAAAAGTGAAGTCTTGTACTTCCCGAAACCGAAGGACAGTCATCAGTAGTGCCTGTAGCTCTGCTGGTGGGAAGCATACAAGTTGAGTTTTGCATAGGAAATACCCAGTATTTTATATTTTGCATATATGTATTTCTAGATTATGTAAATTCTTTTTATTTGGGTAAAATTGCTGGATGTTCCATGAAAAGACTGATTATTTACATCCCACACTCCTCAGGATGTGCACTGCAGGTCCATGGAGCGTAATTCGGTACTACGTCTCCTTAAGCAGCCTTATGCTACTTACGCCTTTTGTGTGTCTTTATGGTGAAATGAATTGAGAGAGCTGATCTGGCTGAAAAATAAGCTTTTTCTTATCTAACTTCCTGATTTTTTTCCTGATGGATCTGTTCTCTGCTATGGCTTACCTTATATTTGTTCTCATGCAGTGGGGTGGGGTAAAGAGGAGGATGCTTGATGAGGAAGGAGAGGGGATAGTTCTGGTGCTGTCCTGGTCTTTTATATCTTTACTCTCATATACTACTGTATCTGGAGTGATGGCATTTGCTGTAAGCAGAATATAAAAAAAAATGGATGTGCATGATTACCATTTAAATTGTGTTTCATCCTGTCTCTTGTCTGTATCACAAGCAGATCTGTAAAAGGCAGATAACTTTATTTAGAATTTTAGTTTGCTCTGATACAGTAGCTAAGTTTTTTCTTAGACTCCGTGGTGGTACTAGCTAATGCTTATTTTCTTATGATGATAATTCAGATATTTTAACCTGTCTGACTTTTAATACCAGCTTATGGAAGTGACGGGGAAAAACCAGGATGAGTGCATAGTGGCGCTACATGACTGTAATGGGGATGTGAACAGAGCAATCAACATACTGCTGGAAGGAAGTTCAGACACGGTAAGTTTTTACTTTCATATTATATCACTTTGTTTGCTGTATCTTTTAATTCTAAGAATGATAAAATCAAAGAATTGTTTGGGAACCATATAATTCCAACCCTGCCACAGGCAGGGACACCTTCCACTGGACCAGGTTGCTCCAAGCCCTGTCCAACCTAGCCTTGAAAACTGGCAGGGATGGAGCAGCCACAGCTTCCCTGGGCAACCTGCACCAGTGCCTCATCACCCTCACAGGAGAGAATTTCTTCCTAATATCTAATCTATATCTCTCTTCTGCCAGTTTAAAGCCATTCCCCCTTGTCTTGTCACTACATGCCCTTGTCAAAAGTCCCTCTCCAGGTTTCTTGTAACCCCCTTTAGGCACTGGGAACTGCTCCAAGGTCTTCCTGGAGCCCTCTTTTCTCCAAGCTGAGCAAGACCAACTCTCTCAGCCTGCTTTCATAGCAGAGCTGCTCCAGGCCTCTGATCATCTTCATGGCACACACTGCTGGGTCATGCTGAGCTTCTCATCAACCAACACCTCTATCTCCTTCTCTTCAGGGCTGCTCTCAGTTCATTCTTTGTCCAGCCTGTAGCTGTGCTTCAGATTGCACCAAACCTGGTGCAGGACCTAGCACTTGACCTTGTTGAACTTTATGGGGTTTGCACAGGCCCACCTCTACAGCCCGTCCAGGTCCCCCTGGATGGCAGCCCTTCCCTCCAGCATGTTGACTGCGCCACACAGCTTGGTGTTGTCAGCTGACTTGATGAGAGTGCATCAATCACGCTGTCCATGTCACCAACGAAGTTGAACAGGATTGGTCCCAACGCTGATCCTTGAGGGACACCACTCAACAGTGGTCTCCAGCTGGACACTGAGCCATTGACCGCAACTCTCTGAGTGCAGCCATCCAGCCAGTTCCTTATCCAGCAAGTGGTTTAACCGTCAAATCCACACCTCTCCAGTTTAGAGACAAGGACGTTATGTGGGACAGTGTCAAATGCCTTGCACGAGCCCAAGTAGAAGTTGCTCTTCCCTTATCCACCAATTCCATGGCCCCATCATAGAAGGCCACCAAATTTGTCAGGCATGATTTTCCCTTGTGAAGCCATACTGGCTGTCACTGACCAGCCCATTATTGTCTTTGTGCCTTAACATAGATTCCAGGAGGATCTGCTCCATTATATTGCTGGGTGCTGAGGTGAGACTGACTGGCCTGTAGTTCCTGGGTCTTCCTTGTTTCCCTTTTTACAAACAGGGATTATAATTCCCTAATTCCAGTGAGGAGAAACTTCACCAGACTGCCACAACTTCCAAGGTACGATGGATAATGGCGTAGCAACTTCATCCACCAGTTTCCCCAGGCCCTACATCTTATCAGGTCCCATGGACTTTAGCACCTTCAGGTTTGGGGTGGTTGGAGTTCCCCATGAAGACCAGGGCTTGTGAATGTGAGGCTGATGCTATCTGTCTATAAAGGCTTTATCCTCATGGTCTTCCTGTTCAGGTTGCCTGAACAGACCCCCACTATAATGTCCCCTTGTCCCTGCTCTTCCTTTAATCTTGACCCATAAGCTCTGTCAGTTGGCTCACCATCCATCCCTGGTCAGAACTCCATGCACTCCAGTGGGTTGTTGACGTAGAAGGTGACACCCCTTCCTTATCTAGCCAGCCTGTTCTTCTTGAAGAGCCTGTATCCTTCCATTCCAACACTCCATTCATAGCAGGTGTCCCACCACATCTCTGTGATGCCAGTAAGATCACAGCTATGCAGGTGTGCACATGTCTCTAACTCCTCTTGTTTATTGCCTATGCTACATATGTTTGCAGGGAGGCATTTAGGTTGGGCCCCCAAAGCTGACTTGCTGGCTGGATTAGCAGGAATTCCTTTGTGCTGCTTTTCAGGTGCTCTCCTGCTGACCTGCGATCTCTCTTGAGGCTCTGGGCATCTGTTGCTGGCACTTGCATCTGACTGACAGGAGTGGGATGCATTGGGGTTCCCCTCCCCTTAGTACTTTAGGTTAAAGCCTTCTCCACCAGCTTGGCAGACCTGTGACCAAAGATGATCCTCCCTTTCTCTGACAGGTCTCCATCAGTCCCCAGCAGACCAGGTTTCTCAAAGCAAGTTGCATGGTCTCCCTGGCTGTGTTATCAGTCCCACAGCCATCTGTTGATTCATCAGATTTGACTGGCACTTTCAAACCCATTCCCTTTGACGGAGAGAATTGATGGAAAAACTACCTGGGCTCAAGAGTCCTTTATGCTGTCCCCAGCGCTCTGTAATCCTTCTTGTTAGTCTTCATACTGCTCCTGGCTGTATATATTGTGCCCACATGAACAGCAGTGGGTAATAGTGTTATGAGACTTGGTAGCCTCTCAGTGACAAGCGATTGGGAAAGTCGTTTCAGAAGCTTTTGATTTCTATGTCTCAATTGAAATTCTTTTGAAGGAAATGGAGACAGGGCAGTTTCTCTTCTCTAAGCATACCCCAGGGTAGGCTGAACCTTGAAAATGTTGTGGGTGTTCAACTGGTCTCTTGCACATTCCTCTGGCTTTCACTTACATGCAGCAATTCTAACTCAGCCATGTAACTCAGTGCTCTTATCAGACACAGGCCTGTTTTTGCTGCAGTATTTGTATTTACTCTGTAGCACCTCCACAACCCTGAAGCCTGAGACTAAGTGCTTGCCACAAAGGGCAGTCTTTATAAGCCTAAAGGCGAGGCAGGTATTTTAAGTCACGTAACTTCTGTAGGTGAGCATTGTCAGTATTGAAGTTGGAGGAGGTTTCCACATCTGAAGGTTGCATTGACAGCATTACTGATGGCAGAATAGGATACAGCAAGTAGTTGGTTCTTTCACTGTGGTGCTCATTTGCATGACTTCATCGAAAAACAAAGAGAAGACTAAACAATGTGTATATAACAACAAATAATGTCGCTTCAGATGTTGAACAGAGCAGTTTTTTATGCCAAGAGATATCAGGAAAATATGTCTTGCTGTGGTTGAAGTTTTTGCTGGAGGGACTTCTTACACTTATCTGAGGCAGTAAACTAGATTCCATTTCATCTAAATTGGGAAAACCTGGACTTCCTTTCTTTAATGCTGAACATTTGGTTATTTCCTGTGATTTGTGAGGATATGTATCCTGGCTTATTGTTAATGAGGAAACTCACCCCACACATACTCTAGGACACATACCATTCTGACTGAGGGGACTTTCTTTTCTATCCCTTTTTCATTTTTCAGAGTTGAGGTCATCTAAAGCGCCTAAGTCTGTAATACTGAGTGAAGTGGTGAGCTGGGAGTAGTAGAGCATCTCTCCTTGATTAAGTCTGTCTTGGTAATATACTGGTTTTGTGCTCTCTTGTACTTCTTGTATGTGTCATTTTGTAGTTTAAAATAGTTTCCTGGTTGATAGAGAATGTTAAATGCTTTCTTACTTTAGCCGGTTGTGATAAATGATCATGACATGAAAGAAACTTTCCAAATTCTTTTGCCATTAGAAGCAGCATGTGCATATGTTCTGCTTGTCAAAATGCCAAGTCCCTCTGAACCCACTGCTGTCTGTAGACAAAGTGCAACTTGGAAACAAATACACAGAACTTAAAGGGCTTAAGGAGGAAGGTGTATTAGTTGAAAAGGAGGAAGGAGTTTTAATTCAAGGGCATGAAGAAATTTGTTCTTCATGGAGATTTATGGGCCTCCAGTTCAAAGGGTTTGTTTTAAGGCTATTATATTTCAGAACAATGCAACTGTGGATTTGATGTGAAGTTGAAAGTAGAGGTACTACTAGTTCTAAATGAAGATTCACTAATTTTTTCCTTGTTTCACTCTGCTTTGATGACCTAGAAGTTTTTTGGGAGGAGGGGGTTTGTTTGCTTGAGTTTTTTTGGTGTTTCTTTTGGTAGTATTTTTTGTGTTGTTTGGTTTTTGTTTTTGTTTTTTAAAAAACCCTCAGTTGAAAGAAGTTGTGCCTGTCTAATTTGAGGAATTAGAAGAGCAAGGAGGGATAGATAGAATGTCTATAATTTCGTGGCTTTATGCTGTGTGACTTAGTCTTTAGGAAGACTTTTCACTTGCAGTTGTGAGAATCTGGCTATGAAAAAGAGAGAGGCTTGTGGATGAGAGTAGAGCAGGACATGTTTCTTTGCCCAGGATTTCTATTCATCTAACTTCCTACAAGTGTAAGATCCATTTTATGCTCAACAATGTTTTCCTTCCTAAAACTTTGAAGATAGAACAAAGGGAACCTTTCAGATTATTCTTCTTTCCGTTTAAGATGAGTCCTGCAAGGCAGCTTCTGTTACATGTTTTCAGAGGTCAGGCTCAGAACTGTCAGTTGCCTCAGGCATCCTCAACTGAAATTGTAATCAGTTAGCTTACAAAAACAGGCAGCTTCAGTAGTCTGTGATGGATTCCCATGCCCAGAGGTAGTACCATCCTCTATCTTAAAGCATGTGTCTGATTTCTCAAGTCTTTCCTCAAACTATATTGTTGGAAAACATGGGTCTGATGCTTTTCATAGTCATCCTTTTGCTAATTCTTCCTGTGTCATGTAAGAACTTACCAGGGAGAGGCTGCTGCTTCTTAAGTTTTTCAGGATCATCCAGTTTGGGGTATTTTTTTAAATTGTCAGAGATCTCTGGGCACCATGCCCATCGTTGAGCTACTAGTGCATTCTGAGCTATATAGATGCTTCTTAAGTTGTCAGTGCAGTTACTTGTCTTCCTGTAAAGTGTTTCTAAAGCTCTAGTATTGATTTACTGTTACACAGTTTTGTTACAGCAGTTACGCAGGTGAAGCCATGTGATAGTGACTGGAGGAAAGTTTTTCTGTACACAAATAACATGGTGTTGCTCAAACTCGTAATTTTATACTTTAATCCATGCTCTCTGCAGTTCTCCTAAGTTGGTGCTGTCGTCTTCTGTAGCGGAGATGAAATTGAAAAGGACTTCAGCCTTCATTCTCACCTGGACCGTATCAAAAAATAAGAGAGAGTGACCATTCTGTTAGAACTTACCCTTTCAAAGGATAGAACCATAGAATAGTTAGGGTTGGAAAGGACCTTAAGATCACCTAATTCCAACCCCCCTGCCATGGGCAAGAACACCTCACACTAAACCATGTCACCCAAGGCTCTGTCCAACCTGGCCTTGACCACCGCCGGGGATGGAGCATTCACAACTTCCCTGGGCAACCCATTCCAGTGCCTCAGCACCCTTACAGTAAAGAACTTCCTCCTTATATCCAATCTAAACTTCCCCTGTTTAAGTTTTAACCCTTCACCCCTTGTCCTGTCACTACAGTCCCTAATGAAGAGTTCCTTCCCAGCATCCCTATAGGCCCCCTTCAGATACTGGAAGGCTGCTATGAGGTCTCCATGCAGCCTTCTCTTCTCCAGGCTGAACAGCTCCAACTTCCTCAGCCTGTCTTCATACAGGAGGTGCTCCATTCCCCTGATCATCCTCGTGGGCCTCCTCTGGACTTGTTCCAACAGTTCCATGTCCTTTTTATGTTGAGGACACCAGAACTGCACACAATACTCCAAGTGAGGTCTCACGAGAGCAGAGCAGAGGGGCAGGATCACCTCCTTCGACCTGCTGGTCACGCTCCTTTTGATGCAGCCCAGGATACGGTTGATTTCTGGGCTGCGAGCGCACACTGAAGCCGGCTCATGTTCATTGTCTCATCCACCAACACCCCCATATCCTTCTCCGCAGGGCTGCTCTGAATCTCTTCTCTGCCCAGCCTGTAGCTGTGCCTGGGATTGCTCTGACCCAGGTGTAGGACCTTGCACTTGGTATGGGTAAATGAATGCATGGTTAAATGGATACAGTGAAACACTGAGTTTATACTTATAAACTGATTTGTTACATGCTTTCCCCATAGCATTACTTTTCTTCATTCTGGGCACCTTGGACTAGCTGGTCATTGCCTAGCTTGTGAGGACTTCTGAGTTGCTGTTGTCTGAATTGAGAGGAGGTAGGATGGGACCTAAAAGTACTGATAGCCAGCCTTTTTTGTATGTTGGAGGTGCCTGTCAGAATTAATATTTTTAGTGATTCAAAGTTGATGTCTGCTTACTTTCATATGCAAATTTCCTGCTTAAATACTTTAGTAAGATTATAAGCTCACAGAGTGGGGATAGACATATAAACCTGTCTGCCATCTTAAAAGTTTAGAAATAATACTTTTCTTAGCTTTGCAGCTGTTGCTCAACGGACAAGCTGTGCAACTGCATCATATATGGGATGCAGTGCTACTCTTAGCAAGTGTTCTAGTCATTTTATTTTCAACTCCTACAGATTCTCTTACGGAGTCTAAATGATCCCTGAATTTATTTTAAAGACAGTGTTTAATGTTAGAGGTGAAGCCTGGTTTCTGGAACTTGGTCCCTTGTCTCCTTTAGACATAACTTTTCCTGTGTGTGATAAGCTGTAGCTGCTATGGCTGGATGACTTATCTTTGTCCCAGTTTTCCCAAGTTGTTGCTCTGCCATTCTGTTTCCTGGTACTTGAATTCTTGTATGTCTGGATAATGTTTTTTCTTCTCCCACCCTTAGGCCACATACTTGTCAGTCTCTTGTTCAGCGATGCTTATGAGCATTTTTTCATTTCCTTGAGAGAAGATAAATCTGTGCATGCTCCCTTGCTAGGTTTATGGAGGTAGTTGAGAGGGAAACTGTTGCTTGCTTTGCAGGTTTTGTAGGCTGTGGGTGTATCTAGGCTTCCTTGAACAACTTTCTTGAACTAGTAAAAGTCCATTATAGCCAGAAATATTTGAGATCCCCTCATTCTGTAAGACAGGCCAACTTGTTACTTTCTGTTCCCAAAAGCACAGCCCATTTTTTTTTCCAGTTCTATCAATGAAGTTTGAAAATTATTACATACATGATCTTATGGAAATTCCTGTTGTTTTGTTTTTTTTTGTTTTGTTTTTGTTTTTGTTTTTTTTGTTGTTGTTTTGGGGTTTTTTTTTTGGTTGTTTGTTTTTGTTTTTTTTTTTCAATAACTTAAGGGGTATGAGGTGGAATTACAGATTGAGAGCGGTCTCTTCATTTTGACTTTTGTTTCTAATTCTGTTCTACCAAAATAGACTTCCTGGGAGACTGTAGGGGGAAAGAAGAAAAGCCTTGGAAAGGAAAGTTCAGAAAACAAAGAGAACAGAGAAAAGCGAGGGGACAGAGAAGTGAGTCGTGGACGGGGAAGCTCAAACAGACGGGGAAGAGGAGGCAGCCGTGGCCGAGAGTGTACGTACAGGTGTTCATTCCTAAAGATTCGAACACTTTTCTGGTGGCTGAAACTGGCTGAGTTAGTAACGAATGCTTAATGGAATAAAGTCTGTCCAAGCTACAGCTCAGTACTGAGGGGATCATAACTTGTGCAACAGGTATGCTTGGTATATGTCTCTTTGTTTGGAGATGGTCTGTGCTGGTGCAGAGATGCTTCATTTAATTGAGATTTCTGTCCTTTTTACAGTAATTGATCTTCTACAAATTCCTATTCTTTAAGATTTAAAATAGAGTCTTTGTAAGACTCCTTAAAAGCAAGTATGCTCCTGCACAGCTGATACACTTGTTTCTTTTAATGAAAAAAATTATCTGGCTTTGATTCCATCTCCTTTTATGAGTGGGAGAACCTGAAGATGTTCTCATCTTAGAATCATAGAATAGTTAGGGTTGGAAAGGACCTTAAGATCATCTAGTTCCAACCCCCCTGCCATGGGCAGGGAAACCTCCCATTAAACCGTGTCACCCAAGGCTTTGTCCAACCTGGCCTTGAACACTGCCAGGGATGGAGCATTCACAACTTCCCTGGGCAACCCATTCCAGTGCCTCAGCACCCTTACAGTAAAGAACTTCCTCCTTATATCCAATCTAAACTTCCCCTGTTTAAGTTTTAACCCTTCACCCCTTGTCCTGTCACTACAGTCCCTAATGAAGAGTCCCTCCCCAGCATCCCTATAGGTCCCCTTCAGATACTGGAAGGCTGCTCTGAGGTCTCCACGCAGCCTTCTCTTCTCCAGGCTGAACAGCCCCAACTTCCTCAGCCTGTCTTCATACGGGAGGTGCTCCAGTCCCCTGATCATCCTTGTGGGCCTCCTCTGGACTTGTTCCAACAGTTCCATGTCCTTTTTATGTTGAGGACACCAGAACTGCACACAATGCTCCAGGTGAGGTCTCACGAGAGCAGAGCAGAGGGGCAGGATCACCTCCTTCGACCTGCTGGTCACGCTCCTTTTGATGCAGCCCAGGATACGGTTGATTTCTGATCTGTGAGCGCACACTGAAGCAGGCTCGTGTTCATTTTCTCATCGACCAACACCCCCAAGTCCTTCTCCGCAGGGCTGCTCTGAATCTCTTCTCTAAGAGACACAGATAATATCTTCTCATAAGGGGAATTAAAAGACTGGGATCATTATTAATATCCAGTGTATATTACTCATATAAGCCGACCAAAAGGTGAGTTTCTACAGCAGGGAAAATTCTTTGTGAGTTGAGACATTTAAAATTTGGTACAGTCTATACAGTTGCAATAATACATCACAGAAAAGCAAACCGATGTTTCCAAGTTAGGTAGAATCACATTAGACTACCATTGGATGCAGGCTTTTTTTTCCCCTTACTTTTTATCAGCAGCATCAAAGTCATACACACTGCCTTTATAGGCTGTACAAAACACTGATAGATGAGCAAAAGAACTGGAATGAAAACAGTATGTTTAGCATTTTGCTTAAAAGCAGGAAAAATGTTTACAATATTATCCAACTCTTCTAATTCATTACTGGAATGTTTTCAGATATTGTGCCAGTGAAGATGTTTTGCATCTTTGTAGGAAGGAGTAATGTCAGGTTGGCAAAAAATATTAGTAAGAGTTGGGCTGTACTTACAACAAATTGAAACTGGATCCATCAAAATAAGAGTGACAGGCAAAATTTGAATTAAAAGTTTTTGAGATGGTTATCAAACCTTCCCAGCTTTATATCCAAGCATTAGTGATTTTGTTTTATTTCCTGTCATTTGGAGAAGTTGTGCAGCACAAAATCTCAGCAGTGTTTTAAATGGCCAGTCATTTTTTTATGTAATTTTTTTTTTTTCTTCAAGGAGACAGCCATCTCTCAGAGTGTTTCCTTGGGAGTTTTTTTCACAAAATATTTAAGTTGCAGTGCTCTTCTAATGCTTCACCTTCACTCATACCTCTGATTTAAATATAGAGGAGAGTTTCTTTAAGTTTCCCTGGTTGTACAGAGGTGTGAGAAGAGCTGTTTTCCTGGTTATCCTTTATTCTTTCACTGTTGTCACCAGTGTATTATCAAGAAAGAACAGTCTGAAGCAGCTTTATTTTCTACCTCCTGAAAGAGGTGAGACATAATTAAATAATGTAGTCTCCAGTAGTCTTCAAAACACTGTCCCCCTTCCATCCCCTGATGTGTGTCTTCTGAGGGACGTTTTCCTCTTATTAGATACTTTGCTTTCTAATTGTCCAGTGCAAAGTAAATATAACTTGCTAGGCCCCGAAAGAAGAGGGCTGACTGAGATCTGTTGAACAGCCCACTTTAAAGTCTTGCCTTTCCTTTTGCGGTACAGATGGCTATATTGTCTCATGGATAAGTCTCTAAAGTTTCTTTTAAGCTGTCCTCTCTCCACAGTAAGAGCTGAAGAAAATGGAGTGGACAACAGTCAAGGAGACAGGCCTTCAGACCGTGGGAAGCGTGGCCGTGGGAGAGGTAAGATTGGTGGTACTGGTGTGGGACTGGCACTGACTGGAACTCTCTGATTTATTTCTCTAAATACTTCTTTTTAAGCATTTGTTAGTTATCCTTTACTTCCATAAGCACTTCACCCACCTTTAATTTAGATGCATCCTCCTCTGTTACTCCTTGTCATGTCTTGGTCTCAGACCAACTTAAAACAATTGACCCAAATAACCTTTAGGGTAGTTTCCTGTGTAGCAGGCTGGTGTACTTTGGTTATGGAGAGCTGTTTTCCCAGACTGACTCACAACAGCCTCCTCTGAGTGGGAGTGCGCTGGGTTCCTCAGGATGTTCTCTGGCAGCAGGAGAGTGCAAGATTCCATCTGTAGGGCACTTTGGAAGGGACTTGATGTGTATTTGTGCTGTTTCTTTGAGGTGGATATGGTTGTCAGGCTTGCCTTCTGCTTTTGGTAGCCAGTCAGAGAAAGCACAAGCCACCTTAGAGACTTTTTTGTAAGAAGGAGTTTGGCATGGAAGAGGTGGTATGGAGAAGCGTGGAAAGAGAATACTGTGGAATATTGGGTACAACTCTGATCCTATCCTGCAAAAGGTACAGGAAAGGTGTTGATAATGGATTTGATGTGCAATCAAGGGGCGTGTAGTTGGTTTGGTTTTTTAAAGGTTTGAGTGGAAAGAGGATTGTTTCTTCTTAGAGCAGTAAGAATGAGTTGAATAATTATGTACAGTGCAGATTGTGTGGGGAAGTGGGTATTAACTGAGTTAAGTTGATAAAGTGCTGTCATGGTTTAAACCCAGTCAGGCAACTTGTTCACTCACTCCTCCCCTTCTTTCCCTTCCCCTACTCCCGGAGGGACGGAGAGGAGAATCGAAAAGAATGGAACTCTCACGGGTTGAGATAAGAACAGTTTAGTAACTAGGGTATAACACAGATCACTACTGCTGCCACCAATAATAATAATGATAAAGGAAATAACAAGGGAAGAGAATACAACACCTCACCACCAGCTGACCAGTAACTCTGTAACGGTGGTTAGTGTGCATAGCATTACTGTATATCTCTACCAAATATTTCAGACATTCATGTGAGCAAAGTGTCTTAATGAAGTGTCTGTGATAAACCTGTTTGAACAACTTCAGGATCGTTACATTACAAGTGTGTGTATTCCATGGCAGGAAGTACCTAATTTAATTTTATAACACAAGCTCTTGAAAACTGCAGGGAGTTGTGTAAAACTTTATAATTCCCTTTTCAGTATTTCAGGTATGCATGACCTGCTTTATTTGCCTATTATTAGGAATAATAAAAGTTTCCTGCTGTTTAATTCAGCAGTCTTTCTTTTCTGTTACTCAGAATAGACAAATATGAGATAAATAGCTGAAAGTAAACAGATTGCTGGTAATCACCACGGAACCTTTTTTTTAGAAATGCTTCATGCAGAATATGTGTGTAGTAATCTAGGCATTAGATATGAAATTAGGGGTCAGCTAATTATCTGAGCAGTGCATTGTTTCTGTTGTAAGCTACCTTCTCAAGTTGGAGCAATGTTACTGGTTGTTTTCTAGGGGAAGGTACTGGGCCATTGTATTACTGCTTCATTGTAGAGCATCCTAATTCTAAGAAATTATATGCATTGCAAATACCAGAAATGGGATGAACACTGAGATGATAATGTGCTGCTTACTGAGGGGGAAAATCCCCAGTACTGAGCATTTCAGCCTTGGTGCTGTAGGCACTAATTTGGTTTTTGAGAAGATCATCTGTTAACAGCTGTGTGGCATTCCTTGCAACTTTATAGGATAGTAGGTATACAGTGTACAAACACCACTTGTTGCTGGTATGCAGAAGGTCAGGGATTTGAAATAGATACACATTACTGACTGATTAACAGAAAGCAAAAATGCATCACAGGATATGTTTCAGGACACATCCCAGCTGGAATTGCTCTGCCTTTAATTTTTGCTTGCCGCTGAGGGTGTAAACTTTGGCTTGGAAAACAGTCAAGGGATTTCTTTTTTTTTTATTTTTTTTAAAGATGGCCATCTCATTTGTCTTTCTCTTCATAACTGAATTTCTTGATTGAAGTTAATTTACATGTAAAAATACTATAATGGTGATAAACATAATCACTTTGATGAAATTACTGTTCGTGTGTCAGTATTGCAAGGATTTGTAACCATCTGGAATGGAATCTCTTGAAGGAATTAGAGGAAGATGGTTATGTCTTTAAGACAGTCAGCTCTAGAAATGTTTCCTCATGTGTTTTAATCAGCTGCAGTGTTTTATGCAAATTGACAAACTTTATAGGCACTTTGGGGGGGGGGTGTTGGATCAGGGGAGGGCGATTGTGCTGCTTTTTTTTTTTTTACTGTTCTCATATCTTCAATTTTAAGTGTAGGTCTGGTCCTCCCACTGTCCTCCACCCAATATTGGAAAGGATGCGATAGAGCTAGAAAAGGCTTTCGGAGCTACTGGGGTATTGGGAAGGCTCTTGTGGGGTGTGAGGAACAAACAGAGAGGGCCTTATCCACCTGCAAAAGAGAGGGGCTGAGTAGATGTATGGTAGAGATCTGTAAAATTTGTGTGGAGAAGATTCTGTGGGGAAATCAAATGATCACTCCAACCAAGTATGCAAATGAGAGAATATTAAATGAAATCAGTAGATCACAGGTTCACAACAGACCAAGGTGGTTCTTCTGACACTAAGAACTAACGTTCTTCCTTAGTTAACCTAAGGAACTCCTTTCAAGAAGATTATGTGGGTACTGAAAACTTGCCCACAGAGAGACTTGGCAATTTTATCCTAAAAAAAAAACACAGAGCAGGAAAAGGAAAAACCAGTGAGCATTTTTGATGTCATAAGTTATCTTTGGCTGAGGAAGTCTGAGCTACAAATAGGTGTAGACCAGGAGAGTGTCCAGAGAAACTGCACTGTGGTTACAGTTTGCATGTTCTTCCCTAGATATCTCCTTGACCATAGCTGATAATGGGATATCAGGTGGATGAACTTTTGGTCTTGATTCAGTATAGAAATTGTTACAAACTCAAGTGTAGCTATCTTTCTGATTTGCAAAGTGAAAATGGATTTGTTGCTTTTACTTCTGTTCCTCTATTCACCTCTTCATCATTCTTCCAAAAGCAACATGAATATGTCATAAATGTGAATGCTGACAGGGAAATTTTTTCTAGAGAAACAGAAATAAAAATCAATGGGAAAACCATTCTGTTTTAATTTTGGACTTAAACAGCATGATAAGCCTTTAAACTCATTTCCTGCTGGCTATATAAGAAAGCAAAACAGCTTAAGCTTTTGTGAATGTTTGTAAAACCCAACTTGTACTCTTGTTTTTTTTTGTTGTTTAACTTTCCTAGGTGAGTATGCTGTCCTTGAAAAAAAATGATATTCTATAATCAGAACTGCATGTTTAAACATTCTCTTGTTTCAAAAGCTTAGCCCAGTTGGCACAGGATATATTTTGGGTTTCCTTTGCCAGAACTAGTGAAGAGGATGTTTTTTTTTCAAGACCTCAATGTAGAGCGGACCTTCTGGAGATTAGTCGGAAGATTGTTTAGTTTTGCTGTAGTTGATTCTGCATTGGTTAGGAAACTATAATTGTTACTTTTTTAATTTTATTTTACTTACTTTTCTTTTAGATAAACCAGAATTTAGCTTTAATGTAAGTTATTTATTTTCTTTTAAACGTAACTTTAGAATTGAAAGTTATCAGCTTCAAAAAATGGTTATTAGAGTACATGCAGAATGTAAAGCTGATCCAATGCTTCTAGCTTTATTCTGACTAATAAGACAAAAGTGATTTGAATTTACTAAATATGTCTTTTTTGTTTCTGTAGTATGGAATACCTAGAATACAAATTTTCTGTACTTACTCACTTTATCTCTTCATAAGCCTTAAGCCCCTGGTTGATGTCTGCTGAGGATGGCTGGCTTTGCATTTCCAAAGCAGAGACCAGGGCTGTTCAGTAACTGTATAGTCAGAGATAAGCACAAATCTGGGGTGTTGCCTGCCCTTCCAGTCTGCATTTCCTTTTCCTTTCAGCGGTTCTTAGGCCTCTTTTTTAACCTCAGAGTGCTTTCATTTAATTTAAACCTGTCAGTGTGAAAATCTGAGCTTTGAAATAAAGCAGCTGTGTTGCAGTGGAAGGATTTAGATTTGCAAGCTTGGAAAACTAGATTTTCTACAGAGTAAGCTGTTAAATTCATGGGCTGGGGCCATCTGAATTGTAGTACTGCACACTTTTCTCATAGTCCTGTGTAGTGTGTGTTTGTTTTGGGGTTGTGAATGAGACAAACTCTTCTTTCTATGTACCAGGGTGAAGACTTGATTGTACGGTTGAGTGTTTTGAAATTCCCAGTGTGTTTTAGTGGAAACAGATAATCTTGCCACCTGCCTGAGTGGCAAGGAAGCGTTGACTTCTCCAGAATTTGCCCCAGAAAAGAAAAATGTAGATTCAGTAAGTGATGGCTAAGTCAGCTGAAGGAGATATGATGAAGAGCAGGAAAAGACCCCCAACAGTACACAGCTGAACTGTTACAGTGTTAAAGGAAACAAAAACACGTTTTAAATAGTTTTAAATTATATTGGTTAGGGACAGTAGCAAGAGTGTGTATCATAATCAACTTTAAACGTAGTTCCCTAGTCCTGGTTTCCTGGTACAGAAATGAGTAAGCAATACTGCCTTGGTACTTTAGGCTGTTTGTAGATCCAAGCATAAAGAAACATGAAGAAATGTTTTGAGAGTTTATATGAGGCAGAGCAGTACTTTTGTTCTTCGCCAGATGTCTGTCATTTGCTTTTGGGCTCCACATGCTGACTGATTGTAAGAAAATCTATTCTGTTAGACACTAGAAGATTTAGTAAGCTACTGCAAGTCACTTGCTCTCTTTTTGTGGATAGATAAATGTGTTGATAGAAGAATTGCTCCTGTGAATTAGCACAGGAATTTATTTTTTTTTAAGACATTGACTGTTGTGATCTAAACCATTTATACACATTTTTTTAGAGTGGTGTTTAAAGTTCACCTTTTACATTACGAGCATAAACCGACATTACTAGATTAGGTATAGAGAGCTAATCTCTCTCTGCCTAATGTGCTCCTCACTTAAAAGTCAGTTCTGCTTAGCTGTTTCTGGAATTTGCAGCTCCCAGTCAGACTTGTAACTGAGCTTGTCAAAAACTGTTGTTCTGTCTTCTGTGCATCGCTAGTAAATGGTGTTTAATGCTGTATTGATAGCTGTAGGAAGTAAATCTATTACACAGATGGCCTCTATATTGTACCCTAGTAAACTTGTTTAGCTGGTTCTACTCTTATAAAAATTATTTACTGGGCAGGAAGATAGTCTGGAGTGCAGTGGCTTCATGCATCTGAGAGCTATGACCCTGTTGTGCCATGTATCAGCTTCCCAGATTAGGGATTTTAGGTGGGCAAAGGAGAAAAGAGTGTATAATAGGTAGGCTGAGCAAGGAGTTTCAGAGGCTGAGTTACAATCAGTTGGGTATAGCGTGGTCTGGGGCACTGTTGTTTATGTCACGGCAAAGAGCATAGCTCCATGCATAGGCTTGGTAAAGAGGGATGATGATTGTGGGGTTGCAGCTGTTAACATTTTCCTAACCTCTGTCTTCTTTCCAACTGGTTGTATAAAGAGAGCAAAAGGAAGAGATAGCAGGTCTGGCCGAGTTCTTGTCCCACCAAAATACTGTGTATTGGTGGATGGAACATTTGCTCTCAAGGTTTCCATGGTTCCTCTGTAGCTAGCAGTTGTCACCTTTGTATAGAATACAAGTAAACTCTTCTTTCAAAATGTAGATTAAGCTGTCCTGCTGCTTGGATGCTTCTTGGAAATGTAGGTAGTAGACATTTTAGAGGTCCAGAAATACCTTTGAACGCTTGAACAGTGAACAAGGGCAAGAATGGGTGGTGAGGAGAGGGAAAGTCATGAAAATAGGAACTTCCTAAACTGATTTTACCATGTGCTGGAGCTACTAGTCTTATTCAGGTTATGTGGTCCCTGAAAATAAGGGGTAATTCCAAATTCAAACAGCCTTTCATGGGCAATTCTGATGTTTGGACAACCAGTGTATTGGTGGGTTAGGATTATAATTTTTGTGCTCTGGTAAACTTGTAGTTGTTCAGTGACTTATTATTACCACATACCTTTATTGTAAAAACAAACCACTTTGTTCTCAGTCTGCAGCTCTTCTTCCTGTTCTTGTGGTATAAAATCTCATTTACAGTCTTCCCCCTAAAAAAAATCCCAGCCAGAAAAGCCTCAGATATTGAGGTCTTAAAAAAGGAAAAGAAAAATTATGCAGAAATATCTGTGAAATAGTTTTTAACAGTTTATTTAGATATGTGCTTTATAAATGGGATTCATGCCTTGCTGGCCCTACACAACAGGAGGAAATAAAGCCATTCACTGTATCAAGGAAGTTAGAAACTGAGGCTGGCAACCAAAATTGGAGGCAACAAATGCTTGTTTTTGTTAAAATAGAAATTAATGTTCTTGTGAGTGATAACAAGGAAGTTGTTTGAGTAATTTGGTTAATTTTTGAGACAGTAACTATGATTAAAGGGAAATCAGAAGGTATGTGTGATACACAAGATGTTGAAAGTGCAGAGGGTGGGCTGAGTTAGACAAGGAAACGGAGTGTTTAACTTTCTCCTTTCAGACAAGGGGTGACAGGGAGTTTCTTGAGAGATCAGGGTACACAGGGAGGCTGGGATTCTAGAGCGTCTTAGGCAAGAGTGATAAAATAGAGACAAAATCTTGAGCAATGTGGTGATATACAGATAGCAGTCTCATGTGGAATGAGTCTCTAGATGAGTCTTTTCCTTGGCATTTGGATCTAGTTCGCTAGGCACAGGAAAGGTAGCAAAGGATTTGCAAGTCCTGTTAAAATGCATAGTTTTAAATGAACTGTTGCTTCCTTCCTATAGGGAAATCTGAGAAGTAAATGGTATTTAACTGTGGTAGATTTCTTCTTCAACCATAGTATTTGGACATGAAGTAAAAAGGACATGGAACTGTTGGAACAAGTCCAGAGAAGGGCCACGAGGATGATCAGGGGACTGGAGCACCGCCTGTATGAAGACAGGCTGAGAAAGTTGGGCCTGGAGAAGAGAAGGCTGCGTGGAGACCTCAGAGCAGCCTTCCAGTATCTGAAGGGGGCCTATAGGGATGCTGGGGAGGAACTCTTCATTAGAGACTGTAGTGACAGGACAAGGGGTAACGGGTTAAAACTTAAACAGGGGAAGTTTAGGTTGGATATAAGCAGGAAATTCTTTCCTGTTAGGGTGGTGAGGCACTGGAATGGGTTGCCCAGGGAGGTTGTGAATGCTCCATCCCTGGCAGTGTTCAAGGCCAGGTTGGACGAGGCCTTGGGTGATATGATTTAGCGTAAGGTGTCCCTGCGCACGGCAGGGGGGTTGGAACTGGGTGATCTTAAGGTCCTTTCCAACCCTAACAATTCTATGATTCCATGATTCTATTTTTTAATGTGCTAGACCAGTGATTGGTGGCTCCTCTGCTGTTGCTGTTAAATGATGTTTTCTCTCCTAGGGTTTGGACGTGGCAGAGGGAGAGGAGCGGGGAGGTTTTCAGCCCAAGGCATGGGGTAAGAAACATGCAGAGCACAGATTTTGGCAAGGATCAAACTCAGTAAAATATTAATTGACAGTATTGCCACTGTATGTATTAATGTTGCTGTATGTTTGATAAACAAGTATGGATGTAAAAATTCTCAAATGTGATTGATGATTAATGGATTATTTTTGTCTTATACTAGTATTTATGACTAGACACACCTACACAAACCTAATGTGTATTTATGCAGTGTTAATATCTCAGACTTGGAGGACCAGTTTGTACCTATCAGAAGCAGCCCCATAGTGCCTTGGAGGCTGCAAGTTCTCTGTGGTGCATATAGTCCTAGGTCAACTCAAAAAAATATTTGTTTCAGTGTAATGTAGAAGGTGGAAGTTGTATATAAAACCAGGAAGTCTAGCGATTATAAACTCTCCTATTTTGAGGTTTCATGCTTCTGTTGTTTGGACATATATGCGCCCTAAAACAGAATCAAAAGAAGTTACTTAGCCACTCTAAAGTTTGTTTTCAGTTTTGTTGGGATAATTTGCTTTATAGAAGTATAGCCTCCACTAGTTTCACTTAGTGTTTGCCTTGAATGTCATATGAAATGATTTCAGTGATGTAATTTCAGTAATTTCAGTGATGTCATGAGGAACAGAAGGCTAGTACTGTTTCTCTGATAATCCTTCTTCTTCGTATTGCAGATAATAAGATGGAAAGGGATTTTTCTTCAGTAATCCTTTTTCACCTTTTAGCTGCATCTGTGTGTTTTGGCATTGGTGTGAGGAGTGCATCCTGAAATAATCTTACTGATGTTCTGACTCCTGTCCTGCGCAGGTCTGGTGCTCTGAAAGGACATGATACTGGTTTCTCATCAGTCAGCCACCTGCTGAGAAACCATCAGCTGAGAGGGTCTTATCATTGTGCATATGAACTAAAGCTTTATAAGACTGGGAGGAGTAGGTATGCTGTTAACTGCTTTTTCAGGAATTGTTTTTTTGGTTCAGTTTCTCTACAGTAATATTTTTTTCCCCAGTCTCCTCACTTTTTTTCTCCTCTTCTTTTCTCTTTTCTCCCCCTTTTATCTGTCTGCTCATAGAGGAAAAAATTCTTTTGAAACCCAAACTACCAAGATAAATTATGTGGAAGTCAAGATGTTAAATCTGATACAACGTCAGCTAAAAATGATGACACTTGTGTTCATGAATGACCCATGTGTTCTCTTCCATTTCTTAACTTTTGAAACTCTAGGACATTTAATCCTGCAGACTATACGGAGTCTTCTGTCACTGATGGCTTTGGGACAAAATCAGAGATTTGGCAGACTGGTCACAATGATGCAGATGATGGAACTGGTAAGATGCTTCAAGAAGCGGAAGGATTGGAATGAAGAGCTTTAGCAAATTGCAATTAAAATAACCATTATGTTAGTTCCCTTAACTTCTGAAAATGTCAATACATCTCACGTCATACAGATATTAGTTCACTTTTATAGCTTAACTGCTACTAATGTGCAGAACATATGCTGTAGCCTGAGTGACTCTGTGGTTGGAATGAAGGGAAGGTAATTTCCAGTTCTTTTTGTTGTTTTAGTACTAATGATCCCTTGAGAGACAAAGGGATTTGAATTTTTGAAGAATTATTGAAAGAACCTGGTATGTGAAGAACTGTTGAGATATTTTAAGTAGTTCTTAAGAACTCACCTAAAGTAGTTAAGGAATATAAGTCCTACTAAAAGTGAGATTATGCAGTAGGGTGTGAATATCTAAGTAGAAGAAAAAAAAGAAAAGAAAAATTATTTACAAATATGAATCCACTCAGTGGCACTGGGATGGCTTTGGCAGCCCCAACTGTGCAACGCAGCAATGTAAAGATGTAAGACTCTGTGATGGAGGAGAGTTCCAAGATCTGACACCTTTGAAAAGAAGAATGATTAACTAAAGCACAAGTAGGCACTTGAATTGAAGCCAAAAGAGCAGTCTGCCTGTCTGAAGATAGAGGTATTCATGTGTTTCTGTGTGAAATATGTGCTCCCAGCTAAAGAGGCAGATGTAGTTTGGAAAGGAGCACTTAGCTCTCATCTCGTGGTGATTCAGAAATGAAGAATGTGAACTGCTTGTCTGTGGTTGGGAAAACAGGATACCTTGCTGCTTCCCATACTCAGTGACAGGAGATGAAGGCAAAGGAAATCCAGTGTCAGGATGGAGAAGTTCATGTACGTTATTGTCCATACTTGGGAACCACTGAGTGATAAGATATCTCTCTCTATATATAGATATATAGATATATAGATATATAGATATATAGATATATAGATATATAGATATATATATAATTTTTTTTTAACCCCAGCGAAGGAGAGCTCTTCTTATCACTTAATTACTGAAGCCTACGCAGATGATGTTTTATTAATCCCTGTGTCAAGTGTGGAAGGAAAAGACTGATACTGGAGGCCAGGGTGTGCTCCATCGAGCTCTGCTGTGAGCTGCTTGTTATACAGCTTTCTAAACTTGATACAAGCCATTTTCCACCTACCCAGCAAAGGCAGGCTCAGAGTTTAGGAGAGGTTATTAGGAAGCTGTCTTGGCACTCCAAATGCTTTCTGTTCCAGTGTGGGAGAGTGGCACTGAGTATATTCATGGTTATCAAAAGGGAGTTCTTGGCAAATATGGCATCTTTCCAAGGAATTACTTTTGAAATTACTTGGGCTATAGTGCAAACAGAAATGCACCTTTTTCATGCTAGTTTTTCAAATAAGTTTATCAGATAATGAGTTAAAAGAGCACCTAATGGCTTGAAAATTCCCCTAGAATACTGATACTGTTATTTGCTATATGGAAGTGGAGGGCAGGGTATGTTGTCACAAGTATTGCAGGAGCAGTAAGGTTACCTAATTAAAAAAGGAAGACATACAGGAAAGGCATGAGGAGACTGGACCAGAGGTATAAAATTCACTGTCTGATTATTACTAAATGCAGCTGTGAGGCTGTGGCTTATGAATAACTTTAACTTGTGCTCCATTTCCCAAGTGAATTCAAATGCTTGTGACCCTCGCGGCTAATTCTGGGTAGCCTTTATGTGCCTTCCCTATGGCAACCTCTGTTCCTTCTTGTAGCCATCTCCTGAGTCTTCGATAATGGAAGAATTCTGCCCAGGCATAAGAGTAGCTTGGTGTGGTTAAACAGATTCCTGTAAGTGTGTGAATGTGTCTATGTGAGGAGTTTGCTGCTAGTTGACATGTTGAACTTCTTTTTGGATAACAAGTGTGATTTTGCTGTTACACTGTGCACATCTCACTGAGAACTGCACTTCAGTAATGCAGTTTAAGGCCTGTATGGAAATCTGGGAGTGTGGTATGGAGAAGAAGGTTTCAGAAGGCATTTGGGAATTTTCTCTGGCCCTGTCAGATTAATGGTTCATAGGGTATGAATGAGTGAGTGGCAGTGTGTGGAGTTCATACAAAATCATTTGGTTGGTGGAAATCTAAAGTAAACTAGTTAAGTGTGAATGCTCTTTTTGGGTGCAAAGGGCCTTTTTGCTGCTAATTTTAATTTTCTTTCGGTGCAAATGGAAAAGGCACAATAGCTGGCAAAGCAAAAATGTCTGACTCTATATATGACTATAGGAAGAGTGTTTTATTTTACAGTATTTCTTCTCTAGACAAGCCATAGGAATGTCTGAAGTGAGTCCCCAAGCCAAAAAGAAATCTCTTTGAAGAGAGTAAGCTTTAAATTTGAATCACTTAGTCTTGTCCAAGAGGGAAGCACTTTCAACCTTGTAATGGAAAGTATCTCGAGGAGGCACATTAGAGGAGACTGCAACTGGGATAGTAGTTTTAAAGCAAAAGCGAGTGCTGGGAAGGAAGCTGAAAGCAGGGGTAGGATGGTGGAGTAGGATACAATGTGTGGGGCTGGAAGCAGGTTTTACAAAGTTGAGCTGGTGATTTTGCTTGTTAATCACAAGTACTAGTTTTCAAAATTACCTTCCTCCCCATTTAGAGTACTTTTATTGCAAAGCAACAGTCATGGTGATAAGTAACTTTGCTATGTAGAGTTACTAAAGATGTGAATGAGGGTTATGTACATTTATGGAAATCCATCAAGCCTCTGGTGACCTAATGAAGTATGTCAGGTAAGTGTATACAGAGAAGAAAGGTAGCATGGAAATCCCTCTCTATTCCTCATTACCCAGTCCCATTTCTTCTTTCATCTCGAAAGAAACCAAAATTAGCTCATAGTAGCTGCTTGAAAACTTACTTTTATCTGCAGTGAGATAAATTGACATAACTGGGCAACTACCTGGAGAAACAAAACTGATTTGCTTATCAAAATGTTTTCTGAAGACAACATGCAAATATAAACTGCTTGTGGAGTTCTAAGTTTTCACTACGTATTCCCTCTTTAAGCCGGTGCTGGGAAGTTACCAACATCAATGTTTTCAATTAAAATGAAATACACTATTTGTTTCCAAAATATAGTTGCCCCAGTATGTGCTCTGAAAGTGCTCTAGAACCTCTTGTCCTGAGTTATTGCAGGTACAAGAGGAATTATAGTAGCCTGAATGAAAGGTGTTACTAGGTGCCCCATCATGCAGTCTTATAGAAAAGCTAGTTGGTTCTATGGAGGTAAAAGTTAGCATTGTTGTTTGAAATAAAAAGAGATTAAAGAGTGAATTTTTAGTGGTTCATAACATTTAAGTGTAATTGTATTCTAAATAATTGAGAATCAGTTTTTCTGAATCCTGGTTTTATAGAACTAATGTACAACTGAAAGACATGGTGCAGGCGGGAGGAAACAGAATGACCAGTCCTCCTCCAAAAGGGATTAAACTTGAACAGCATGATCAATACTTTCTTACAGGCACAATGGGTATTCAGTTTCTTACCTTTTTTGTAATGTACAAGGCAGTTGGAGACCCTGAGTGAAAGATCACAGCAGTTCTTATAAATCAGTTATGTTACAGGCCATTTCTCAAAGGAGGTTATAAAAATGGTGTTGCATTCTTCTAATTTACTGATACCTCTACTTTGATAGAGTTTTCATAGATTTCACAGAAAAAAAAATCCTTTGTTACCTTAGTTAGGAGCAGCATTAGATTACTCAAATTGAAGAATGACAAGAAGTAAAAAAATAATTGTAATGTAACTACCAAGGGGTAAGAAGGGAATTGCATAGCTTGGGAATTACAAGGAAGGTGTCTGGTTTTAGGACTTCTGTAAAAGTGAAAAGGAACATGTTAAAGAAAACTTCAGGTCATTCTAGAACATGAATGTAATCCAGAAGGAAAAGATTAGTACATAACTTTGGGATAGACAAAAAAAAAAAAGTTAAATCTATGGCTGATTATTAAAAAAAAAAAAAAAGGAAAAATGGCCCTAAATAGTGTGACAGAAAGTGAGTAACTGGGGGAAAGTAGCTGAGGCCTTACCAAAAACATATTGTATACTTTTTGCTTTATAGCTTTCTAAAACTGAATGTGTTGCAAAGAGAAACAGGAAAGAGTCACACAAAGCCATCTAGGTGGAAGTTGCTGTGACAAGGATCCTTAAAAACACAAAGGGTACTTTCAGTGGAAAACAGAGAACTCTTTGCAAGGCACAGGGGAAGGTTGGGAAGAAAATATATAGAGTTGCCATAATGCCAAGGTGGATATTGGACTAGAAGGAAATTGATGTGCTTGTGGCAAGATCAGGCTTAGAATCCCACCACCAAGATGAAGACATTAGCTAACTGGATTTAGTGCAGAGAAAAATCAGTGAAATAATTGAGGCTGGAAGGAGCGAGTTGGGAAGGTAGAGTGTTAATAAATTACAGTAATAAACTTAGCAGGGTAAACTAATAAAAGGGTGAAGGGTTGTGTTCAATAATTAGAGGGTAAATGCACAGAAGCATGTTCAGAAGTAGGAGCAACAGATAAATGTTTAAGTTGAATGTCAGGAAAGTGTCCTGTGTATTATTCCAAGCAGGTTTGATCTCCCAGAAGTGGTGGGGATGGTCAAGGGTTGGGCTTGATTTGACTGAGCTCTTCTTGTGTTTGTTTTAGCTGACTCTGAGCTCTATTGTTGTGATTCTGGCACCACCATGAGGTTTGTCTTCTGCAGAGGCAGGCCTTGTTCTGGCTGATAGGAGATAAAAAGCAGCAGTGGGAATACAAGGATGTATGAAGAAAAAATATCAGAGGATATCCTGTGCTGGTCAGGGGAAGGAAAAGAACATCAACTGTTTCTCAAAAAACCTCATTGGGCTTTTTCTCCTTTCTAAAATTTCTGTGGAAGTGTGTGTATTGGTCTGGAAATTTGGGGCATTTGTAGTTAATTTTGTGCTCGGATTTGATTAGTAGTTGTTTTGCAGTATGTAGAAACTTCCTGGTTAGAGGTTGTTTGGTAACACGTGAGCACAAGATGTTTCAGGCAACTCTGTAATTGCTCCACAGAGCCAACACAGAGTGGATGTTACTTTGCTCAGGACCTGCCAAATAATTTTGGATTCCAAGGTATAAACCTCCTTTCTTCTACCCACTATGTGTATGTATATCTTCGTAGTAGGCCTGTTTGCCTCACTGGGTTAGTGCCATTGGACCCTTCTCTGCCCAAACCACTGTTTTGTAACAGTGTACAAAAGAATACATTAATCCAGAGATGTCATTAGTATAAACTGGACAGTTGATGCTGTCTTCCGGGAGCCTGTTTCTGGCTGAACGTGTCTCAGAGGGTTTCTCATTAAGTAAAAAAGAGATGATTAAAGCAGTAATTCTTCTGCTTTTGTACTTGATCAAAGGTGATGGGAGTAGGATCTGTACTGCTGGTGTTTTCTTCACTCATGGTTATGCAGATTAAATGAAGGCTCTGGTTATCGGCTGGGATAACTTCTATGCTGATTGGTGGTGGTCAAGGACTTTAGTCTGTCGCTTTTGCATGTCTGTGTCTGCTGTTTCCTGTGGAAGGGATCAGGTTTCTTGCATCTGTAGGATCATTTCCCGTAGTTTTCCCATTGCCACATGTTGTACACTTGCACACTGTGCTCCAGTGTTCACCAAATAAATACTGCAACAAGTTATGGGGAGAGGTGTTTTGCAGCTACAGTGGAAGCTTATTGGCTCTTCTGCTGCCATTATACGGACTATATATGATTTAAAATAAGTTTCGTGTATCATGGGAAGGGATTGGAGTTGTTCTGCTTTAAGGAGAGAGTTAACAGGTTGGAAAGGAGCCTCCAGAGGCATAGCATGGGTCTGGAATTTGTGTTGAAAGCAGGATTATGGATGTTGGAGCAGGTGTTGTGGTTCTGTTTTGTTCCGGCTCTGTATGAATTTGTGCATGGAATTGTGAGATCCAATGGGAGGGCTGAGTAACCTCTCTCTGTCACTGGGGACATAGGAGGAAGTTCTTACAATGTTTGGGATTAATCACTGCTTGCAGACATATATTTATGCAAATTATGTCTGATACTGTAGTGGCTGAGAAATTCCTGAAATCAGAAATTACAGGGGGAAAGAAAAAACCTTCCCAAAATTTTAAATCTGCAGACCAGTTTTCTAGAGCTTCCCATGTTTCCAACCACCATTTCCTCGCTTTGTGTTCCACTAATAATGAAAACAGGGCAGCTTATAAATCAGAATGGTTGAAATGCCATGTAGTGCCTTTAGCTTGTAACTCTTTTCTTTCCTTCCCCATATTACAATAGGAGCATGGAAAAACTCAATAGAAGAGTGGACAGCAGAAGATTGGAATGAAGATGTAAGTTTACCATGTTGGATAGACCAGTTGATTATTTACCCTTAGAGTTTCTGTGTTATCTTCAGAAACTAAGTGTTCAAAGTAGTAGCTGTATGCAACTATCACAGGAATTACAGCAAGATATTTCTTACTGTGTTTCTTACTGTAATTCCTGTTTAAAATACATAGAATCATAGAATCACAGAATGCTTTGGGTTGGCAAGAACCTTAACATCATCTAGTTCCAACCCCTCTGCCATGGTTCTTTCTTTCCTAAATGCAATCTATGTATTTCACAAATGAGTATGTATGACCATGCACTCCACAGTACACTTTGGTTATCTTATTCTGCTGACTGCATTTTATATTTCCAATTGTTCGGTATTAATTGTGAGTATAACCCGGCACAGATTTATCCAAGTTAGATTTCTGCAGTTATCACAGGATGAATTAATTCAAGTAGAGAACTTAGCCACACATAGACAAGATTGTTTTTTAAACAAAATTGAATCAAGAAATAGTTATTTTTTTAATGGGTGGGCAGTACATAGGTAACAAAATTTTAACTTTTATCCCAAATTAAGTATTTGTGAACTAAGAGTTCTCAACTGCTCAGTGCTGATGGGTGTAAACCACAGGCTTCCCCCTACTATCATGTAAGGATTTAAAGCCATATTATCACAAGACTTTTAAGTAATGAAGTGCTGAGGCTTCCTGTCAACTTTAGACTCCTCATTTGATGCTTTTTGTTTGAAATATGCTTAATTACTTCTCTTAGTCCAACTTCGTGTTCATAATATTAAAAAAAGGATCTAGCAGTATGCTGAAGTTAGCAGTTAATTGCTTCATTCCTGTTGTTTTATTATGATGTGTTGTTTAAAGTACTACAACAGTTTCTGTGCTCATTCTTTATCAGGTAAGATATGTCTTAATTTCTTCAAAACATTTGCCATTTTTAATCATCACATGTGAAAATTACATTTGTGATTTTAAAGTTTCAGTTGTTGTAGTAAAGCTTAAGCAGTTCATAAAACAAACGAGGTAATAAATATGGAAAGGAAAACTTAGCTTTTAAGAAGTTTTTCATATTTTACAGGAATATCCATTATTTCAAGTTTATTTTCAGAAGAATAAGTTTATATTGAAAATCATCCCTTTTGCCTCTTTCTGTAAGGTGGCATAAAATCATGGAATCATAGAATTGTTTAGGTTGGAAAAGACCTATAAATCGAGTCCAGCCATTAACCCAGACCTGCCAAATCCACTAAACCATGTTCCCAAATGCCACATTTGCACATCTTTACCTCCAGGGATGGTGACTCTGCCACTTCCCTGGGCAGTCTTTTCAATGCTTGAGGACCCTCCCTGTGAAGAAATTTTTCCTAGCATCCAGTCTAAACCTCCCCTGGCACAGCTCGAGGCCATTTCCTCTTGATCTATTGCTTGTTACTTGGGAAAAGTGATGGACTCCCAACTCTTTCTCTACAGATAGCTGTAGAAGGTGATGAAGCATGTCAGTGTTACAGCTAGAAATGTGTGAATGTGTCATATAACAGATATGAAAATTCTGTCCTTATCTAATGAAAGGGCTGTATTTTTTAAGAAAGTTGAAAGAAACTCCAAAATACCTAGTTTCTCTGTATTGGTTACTGCCATCAAAAGCTGATATCTTTTTTTAAGCCTGCCCTCCTTTCTACAGTATATGGTAGAAGTAGTCTGATGGCTAAGGGATAGTGAAAATTTCTGACCTTGTTTCTTAACTGTTTGATACTGGTACAATGCAGTACTTGTAGCACAGGTGGAGTGTTGAGCAATGCTGACCAGCAATAGATTTTTTTTTAAAAATTAATAATTAAAGTCCAAGAAATTTGCACATGAATCTTGAAAGAGCAGCAGATGAAACCTCTAGACTGTTATTTTTTATTAATTTTAGAGTCCTGGAAAAATCCCTGTAGCCTAGGAGAAAGTTGTTCATGTTCAGAAAGAGTGAATGAAATGGCTACCTGCAGAAACATTAGCCTAAAACATGCCTGGGGAAAAAATAAAGGAAAATTTGATTCATATGATCTAAAAAGAAAAGGAAAAAAAAACAAAACAAACCACACCCAAAACAAAAGAAACAAGCCAAAAAAACCCAGAAGCTGTAATAATACAGCTTCTGCCATTCACTGTAGCTTTATAGTAAATAACTCCCCTTCAAATAAACCTGATGATAGTCTTTAAGTAAATTACAAGTTAATTGTGAAGACAGAGTATGTCTTTGTATGAGAATGGATCTACATCTTTTCTTCTAAAAATAATTATATGCTATCACAAAGCAGAATAAGTGTATTTAAATCCACCCTGCAAATTCTGGCAAATCTTTTGCAAGAGGACCAGTATCGAACATGGGTGTTTCTAGGAGATGTGTAAAGGAATCCAGTCCCAGACCAGATGCCTTCCTTATCAATGATTTGGAAATAAAAGTAAAATCACTGCTGAATTAAATGTGTGGCAAATCAAAAAATTACTGGAATGGCAATCATAAGTAAGCCAGTCATGCAGAGAGGTCTGGAACTTTGCTAGACTTGACCTGTTCAAATAAAAAATGCTTTAATATAGCCAAGTGCACATTTGTTTCATAGGAATAAAGGCATACCTCCAGGACAAGGGGCTGCTCTCTGAAAAGCAGCAACAGAAAAAGTTTCAGAATTGTAGTGGATGATGAAAAAGGAACAGCTCAGCATGATCTCCTAAAGGGCTGATAGTATGGCAGAAAAGTGCTATTCTAGTTTGTTTTTTTTTTGCCTGTAGGCACCCTTGCTGTCTCACAATCAGTCTTGGTTTATGTTTCTGTGTGTGGACTCTCCTGGATGTGATTCTGAAGTACTGCATCCAGTTACTCATTGGTTTATAAAACAAAGATTGTGGAAACAGCTGAATATTATTTACTTATAGAAGAGGTACTTGAGGATGAGATTTTTAGTTTACTGAATCTGAACAGGTTGTTTTATTGGCCTATAATGGACTCTAGTTTTAGTTTAGCAGACAAAGGCATAATATGAACCTGTGGCTGGAACATAATGCTGTGCATTTAAGGGTATAATAATTCTAGCAGCATGACTAATGGTTAAAACAACCAAGGATGCTGATGTATTTGCTGGTGTGTTTTGCTGATAAAGACCAGCTGTTTTTCTGAGAAATAATTTTGATTAAATGTGTTGTTTTCTAGTCAGATGCAAGTTGGGAGTGGATGAGTGAAATTTAGTGACCTGGGCAGGATTGGATTTTTGTGATCTAATAGTCCTGTATTTACTAGTGAGTATTGAGCAAGTATTGTAAGTTGTCAGCATGCTCTTAGAGTTGAGGCTAGCTGTAGTGAAAATAGGAGGTTGTATTTTGTTAAAGTAATATTCAGGGCATGGACAATGAAGGATCAGAGAAATGTCAAGGTAGTGTAGGTGGCTTTGGGTTTTCCTGCTGAAACTGTGGTCATGTTCTCCTGGCTAAAGAAAATAAATTCTAACTATCAGAAGGGGAAGAAGCTATCAGTAGGGGAGAAATAGATCCACATTGCTGGAAAGTGGATGAAGGCATACATTTGCTGTACAATGTTGATAGTGTTAGTTTTTATTTGAAACAACAGCAACACTTAAAAAAAAAACCAACAAAAACAACAAAAAAGCAAACTACACAAACCCAACCCCCCCCATTTATTTTACTGGGTGTATTTCCTTTACCAGGAAGCAACATGAGAACTTGTTTTATTTTTCTTTCACTTCAGTACATCTTATCAAAGCAGTAATAAGGTTTTGTTATTTCTGATTTGCTGATGTTTTTATGAGGCTGCTAGAGTATAGTTTCCTGTTCTCACCTATCAACTGGCCTTGGGAGCTGGTGGCTAGTTGTTAAATGTATTGTCTGTTTGGTAACTGGATCTTTATCATGAGGTAAAGAGCTGAAAAGCACCAACTCCATGAAGGGAATATGAACCCCTTCTGAAGCTGATGTTTGCAAATAGTTCACAACTGTTCATTCAATTCTGGTAAATGCCAGAGCCTCAGTAAAACACTTGCAAATGTAGTGTATAGTGAGTGTAAATAGCTTTGTTAGGAGCTGTAATGCTATTAAGAAATACTAAACATATCTGGGAGATAAAGCTTTCTAGTCACTGCTGCACATAGTACAGTGTTTTGATAAAATGCCATAGTCCCATCAGAATTCTGGATTAGGTGCTTGATTAGAGCTTGTGGCTGTGAGCTTGCCACAGGGTATAGTGTGAATTTCAGCATAGCCAGAGATGTGCGTTTTGCATGCTGGCTCACTTAAAGAGAGCATTTCCTCTCTGACACATCAAACATGCTTTTGTGGTGTCACAAACACCCTTGGGCTCCTCGATTTGCTTATTTTTCAGGATTCATGCGTATTGGCCACGGTTAGTCTTATCCTGCATTATGTGAGAGTAAGAAACTGTTGACATTACAATGAATTTAATATTTAACCAGCGGATTGCAGACCATGGGCTGCTGCTCATGCCATTAGCTGACCTTCTTGTGCCATGCAATGCAGGAGTCTCATAGCACTACAAAAAGTACAGTACACGTTTTAAAACAACATGTACGGTGGAGTGAGGGCTGAACAATAGAGAAAGCCTTTTTAATTGGAAATATGGTTGAGCTGAATATTCTTTCTTTGTTTTAGTCAGTACACAGAGTTGTGGGCTGGCAACATTATACACAGTACAGAGTTGTGTTCCAGAAAGATGGGATTAAAGTATGTTGCGTGGGCAGCAGAGGAAGGGAAGGAAATGGAGGAAGGAACTGTGGTGGTCCTCATTTTTTCATGACACAATGTATTGCACATAAGTAGGTGCTAGTAGAATACATGAAACATTTGAACTTTGCTCCTAGTCTGCCCTTCTGCATCCTGCTCAACAGTGTTTCACAGGAGAATCCCAGTCAGATGGCTGTGTTCAGAGATACAGGTGCTTTCAGTAGAGCTGCCCATGGGATGACAGATGAAATTGACTCATGTCAGTAATATCCTTTAAACAGGGGTACTAGCAATGTGTGTGATTAAAAATCAATTACTTCCCAGAAGACCTGTATTCAAATGCCACATTCTAAAGGGATTCTTCATGTGAGTTTGAATAGGTCAGTCTTCAGTGTAAATGTAAAGCTACACTGAAGTAGTTAAGGGTGATTTTGTGCAAATTTAATTTAAAATATAACCATTATGTGTGCATATCTTCATCTGGTTAAACCTAACCTGCGCTCATTTAAGACCTCTTCTGGTTTGCAAGTATTCCTGTCAATAGAAATTAATTAGCCCTATAAAGTTGTAGCTGTTTTCTTTTTTAAAAAAATAGCAGATAAAGGTGTTAAAATAAACAGCAGCAAATGAACACCTTACAGACTAACATCACCCCTTTCTCCCCCAAAACTCCAACCAACCAGCTTCACCTCCCCAGCTACTTGTGCAAGTACCTAGTACAGCATGGTGAAAGCAGTAGTTTTCTGCTGTATGGGCTGATTGGTTATACCAGTATAAGCAATTGCTGGTTTTGAGCTCACGACTGCAGAGCAGAAGTGAGTTTATAATGTTACTGCCACCCCTAGCAGAAATGCCAAGAAGGAACCATGAATGCTGTTTCACTGTACATATCTGTGGGCAAATCTGCCTCCGCTGGTGATGGCAGCTGAAATGTAAAACATGGAGATACATGGAAGAAATGAGAGCTGTGCAATATGTTAGGCTTCTGCAATGACATTTATCACAGCTGTTCTATGGAGTCCTAAATTACACCTGCACAAGTACTTGCACAAAGTATCTTTACAGCTGTCATGTTAATTACTTTCTGCTGGTGTATTTTTCAGTTAGTTGCTCAAACTGATGTCGGTGCATTGGTATGCCCTTGTATGTGTTCAGTAGACCAAATTTCCTAGCACTTCAGTTAAATTGGTACTTGATTCTGTGGAGAAGGCTTTGCTGAAGTTTGGCTACGTGTTTTTGTTTTTTTAAGCAGAGCTGCAGCATAACTGGTTGTAATGATAGTTTGACTTTACTTTTATCGTGAAAGTGCATGACCAAGATGGAATTTCTGCAGATGTCACCGAAGTGAGGCATGAGAATGTATGTGATTAAAATACCTTTCCTCCTCCCCTCTATCTTTTTCAGCTTTCTGAAACGAAAGTGTTCACTGCTTCTTCTGTTCCAGTTGAGAATCATGTGACTCCTGGGCAGAGGTAAGCTCCTTTTCCGTATTTTCCCTATACCTTAAGAACAACTTGCTTGGTGAACCATTGTTAGCTTCCACATATAAAATGTTGGATAAAACACAGGGCAGCCCTGGCCAGAGATTGGTCAAACTAATTTTGAAATTGTGAAATTGTTGGGTTTGTGGTTTCCTGTGTTATTGAATATGAAATTGGAGCCAAACTTAGCAAATCCATAAGCATAATACTGAGAAGGCCCTGTCGTCTGCACAAAGACTGCTTACAGGCAGGAACAGAAGTAGATGTGAAGAAAAAGTTTTCTGCTTTCAGTTGAAAAGGAAGCACTGCCTTTGCTGTCCAGAAAGTGGAAAGCCTGCCCATGTAGGTGAAAAACGTATTTAGAACATAGTGCTTTAACAAACGTGTTAATAGGAAAGCTTTTATTGGTAAGAAGATGAATTTCCTGATAAGCATCACAATTACCTGCTTTAACTAATGATACAGATCTCAGATAGGGAACCAGAAATACGGCAGTTGCTGTCTTTGCTTGCCTTTGTCTTCACCAAATGCTGGGCTGATGATGGTGGAATCAGTCGCCTGCATTAGCCTCAGGTCCCAGGAGAGAGGATTAAAGCTGTTCGATGAAGACTTCAGTAGCTGAATAGCATAAGATCTAAAAACTAGATGGCCTGATGGTCCCAAATATCCTGGTGCAGCTGTACCCCTGTACTCCAAACTGCAGGAAAATTTTCCTTATGGAAATGGGATGTGATCTGGAGGCAGCAGGGTGTCAGTTGATCTAGAGTTTATAATCCTTTCTTTTAAAAGGTGATGTGTTCACATATTCATTGTTCTGATGCAAATACTCTTTCAGTGGATATCCCTCAAATTATGTTAGAAAATATTTTAGTTCATCAACTCAGATTCTGGTGTATTTTGTTTGTTTTTGTGTTTTTTGCTTGCTTAAGTTTTTTTTGTTTTGATTTGTTTTTTTTTTTACTTGACATAAGAAAGGTTTATTATTAGGTTAAATAAAGGTTTTATTATTGCCTGAATGCTTTGCTTTTCCTGGGATAAACCTGTGATAAACATGTAGTAGGGATTAGTAAGCAAAGCTAAATATAAAAAAATCCATGTTTGTATCCTGCTCAGGTATGTGTATGGTAGGGTAATTTTGGAAATGTGCCCACTCTCTGAGAAACTTAGCTTATATTTCTGCTTCTCTTGTGACTTCCATGTCATCACATGGTCACTCAGTCACTGCATGTGTGTCTTTATTCTTTAATGTCTTCTTACCCACCCTGTACATAGGTGGGACTTTAATCCCTTGCTCTTTTTAAAGTTGGGCGTGCAGGCAGGATCCACTTGATCAGAATGTGTCTTTCATGACTTGTCTCCAGTTACTTGGTTATATTGATCATATAGGTTGTGTGATACATGGTGTAATAAATTCAATAATGTTTCAAAAGAATGCAAAGATAATTTATATTCTAACTTTACTGGAGGATTTCAGCTAGCAGAATATCACTTCCTGGTAAATTATTCTACCTTATACCTCTTTTTGTATGGCAGGCAAGCAATATTTGGAAAGGCTGTTAATCAGTAATAATGCTGTTGCTAAAGTATGGTAGCTTTAGTATTGTTAGTGTTTTCTACCATTTCAGCACAGCATAGTCATCGAGTTTATTCCAGCCAAACCTTTCTTTTTCTTACAGCATCGATTTGATAACACTGCTTCAAAAGCCTGTGACCTCTTCTACCCAAGATATGGAAGGGAACTCATTTGAGGCTCCACAGCAGCAGACCTTTGGCCAAGCCCTGGTCTTCACGAATTCTCAGCACAGCACCCAGTTGGCATCAGGAACTGGCAGCTCCAGTGCTGTAAACGCTTATTCTCCTCAAAGTCTGGTAAAATTATCTTATGCTTTCTTATGGAATTAGGAATTTCATTCCTTCAATTCACACAGACACACAAAGTTTACTTTTATTTCTGGTTTTGCTAAGCGTTTTTTTCTCAGTTTACATGAAGCACTTGTGTTAATTTTTGAGGAGAGCAGATGTGTTTAGGTGTTGATATAGAATGAAGTAATTTGTTTATGGTGAAGAGTTCTAAGCCAGAAAACTATGTACTATTTCCAAGCACATATCTGACTGCCTTTTGTGTAAACATGCCTATCTCCCTAGTCAAGTGTGAAGGCTTGAAACTGGGCACTTAAATTTATTCTCCAAAAATCAGTTCACCTGTTAGATGTATGGATTCAAGGGAATCAGTGTTGTTGTGATCACAGTAGTGGAGGTTGTATTGATGATAATCAGAGAAGATCAGTCCATATGCTAAAACTGCTGAATTTTGTATTTGTCATTCGTTACTGCTCGAGGCCTTTAGTTCTAGGTTTTAGTTGCTGCCAAATAGCAGCTATAGGCATTGACCCTATGGTTATGTTAAAATCATTTATTAAAAACTTAAAACTCCACTCCTTCACTTCTTCATTTTTGTCTTTTGGCAGTCTGCAGTTCTTTGTTCCGGCTTTGGAGAACTTGGATCCTCTAAATTGGCAAACTCTACTGGGTCGCAAATCTTAGACCAGTTGAAATCTCCGGGATTGGGTCAGTTTACCTCTCAACAGAACAATAGTAGCTCTACTGCCACTACCACAACTGCCACATCATCCTGGGATTTAAAACCGCCCATTAGTCAGTCCTCAGTCCTTAATCAGTTTGGTAAGTGCTTTGATACAGTGCTCCTGCTCTCTCTGTCTTTCTCTCCGCCTCTCCCTTCTTTCCCTCCTTCAGATTTCTTAATGCCAGTAACAGTTTAAAATGGGCTTAATGAAAGGGTTTTTTAAAAAAATGTAGTCGTAAGAGTTACATTTACTTGCTGGTAATAAACATTGCAAGTTTATCAGAAACAAGTTTTGGTAGGCTCACATCTATCCGTAAATGTCATTGCATCTTTAGAAGTTGCTGAGCCTTTGTGTAAGGACATCTTTGATTTAATATGCTCAAATATGTAATTGGAACTTTGGTGTCACTTTGTTTCTCAGCAAATAGTGGAAAATACTTATTTTGATTGTGCCTGCACTGCTTCTAGCTGAGTATAAGGTTGTACCATACTCTGTCTTTTTCTTCCCCACATTTTATTCTTCCAGCCATTACATGAATTTTGAATGCATACTGTATAAATTCTTCACAGCATGTGTTCTTTCCTTAGTGTGCTGAGAATGATGCAGGTTACCCGTTTTGTCTATTCATAATTGTATGGATTTTTCATTTGAGTAAAATTAGTAGAAACAGTGAAAATGACATTTTTGCAGTGTTGTTCCTAGCAGTATCCTCACTGTGAAAAATGATAGCTCTTGTACCTATCTCTTGTGTTATGTGTATATGTTTCCAGGTAGATAAGCAGCAAATTTGGTAGCAGTTTTAATCTTTGGCATGCAGCAATTAAAAAAAAAAAAAAAAGAGTTTATTTACATTGAAAGTTGCTTTCTAATGCACTTTACCAACTGAATAAAAAAACCCCTATACATTGCAAATACTGTGGTTCTCTTATGGTTGTTGAGCAGTGCTCTGATTGCTTGCATGGCTTTCAGCGTCTGTAAAACATGAAAGGGGAAGACTTGGAGCAAAACTGTCAGTGTCCAGCGACTCTTGGCTTTCAGTCAGATTGAGATGGTAGATGACTCCTATTTGTGTTGAGACCCTTCTTTTTTGTAGGGGCAGGAAATCCTAACTCGTAATGCTTCTGAGTTGCAACCCTGGACCAATTGGAAGTAATCACATATTATTGGCACAGCTAACTACATTGAAACTTGCAGCTTTTGATTAAAATAATCTGTAAGAGTTTTTGAGGGTTTATGTGTGATAATATTATGTGACTGTGTAAATACATTTAATTTCATATTTTTAGGAAAGCTTAATGCTTGCCCACAGTTGTTTTTTCAAAGTAGAGAATATAAATGTTTGTCTTACTACTGTAGTGGTAGTGTACAATGTAAAACTCATGAAATTTGAGAGAGACTTGCACATGCTATAAAATAGCTGTTGAGTATTTCAGGTCACCCATGTTAGTTCATGAAGCACAAAGAGTAAAGTTTAATGCTTTAATTTTGATATTTCTTTTTCCCAAAACTGATCAGACTTTAAATCCCAGCCTGAACCATCTCCAGTTCTGAGCCAGCTCACCCAGCGACAGCAACAGCAAACACAGGCAGTTCCTGTTCCTCCTCCTGGGCTGGAGTCCTCCTCCTCCCAGATAAAACTCCGAGAGCCATCACCTGTAAACACCTCTACAGCTGTTAGCAAAATCTTACAGCTTCCTACTCTCTCTATGGATAACCAGGCAGTAACTACCCATCAAACCCACCAGAAACAGATAAAACCACAAAAACGGAGGATGACTCCAGCATCCAAGGTAGGTAACTGCATTGTGGCTTGCCCTTAGTAAATGTGAAAACATAGCAAGGCTGAAAGCTTATGTTGGGAATAGTGTGGCAGCAGGGCCAGGGTAGTGATCATCCCCCTGTACTGGGGATTGGTGAGGCTGTACCTCAAATCCTGTTGTTTAGTTCTGGGTCCCTCACTTCAAGAGAGACAGTGAGGTGCTGAAGCAGGTCTAGAGAAGGGCAATGGAGCTGGTGAATTGTCTGGAGCACAAGTGTGATGGAGAACAGCGGAGGGACCTGGGGGGGTTTAGTCTGGAGAAGAGAAGGCTCGGGGGGGACCTTATCAGTCTGTACAACTGCCTGACAGGAGGTTGTAGCGAGGTGGGAGTCAGTCTCTTCTCCCAGGTAATGAGTGATAGGACAAGAGGTAACGGCCTCAAGATGCACCAGGAGAGATTTAGATTGGATATTAGGAACAGTTTCTTCGCTGAAAAGGTTGTCAAGCACAGCAGCAGGCTTCCCAGGAAAGTGATGGTCACCATCCCTGAAGATAATTAGAAGTATAGACTTGGTGCTTAGGGACATGGTTTAGTGGTAGCCTTGGCAGTGTTTAGTTAATGGTTGGACTCGATGATCTTACAGGTCTTTTCCAGCCACAATTCCGTGATTCTAGTCTATATATAAGTTGAAAAGGAGAAGAGCAAAGCCGATGGTTTATTTTTTGTTCATAAAGTAAAAAAATATCCATGCTGTGTAGTTTCTTGGTCCAAAATGTTATCTTTTCCAAGTACATATCTGATTGCTCTATGTGGAAGATGACTGTTGCTGAGTGATTCTGGGTTAATTTAGTAGCCACAAGGTGAATGTTGGCTGAAGGGGCGTGGAGACCTATGACACCTTGATATTGTAGAATAGTGTGGCTTCAGATCAGAGCACAGAATCAGTGAATTAATTTCAGGTTATAAGAATTTAGTTAATGTGATATAAACTGGGGTGTCATTGCAGATCTAGTTAGCAGCAAAGGTAGAGGCAGTACTAAAGAAGCCTGTAGTTAAGGAAGGAGAGAGTGTTGGTTACTGGTATCTCTAATATAGATAGTTCATGCAAAGGAATTAAGTTGGCTTTTTTTTGTTTGTTTTTTCCCCTCTGTTAAGATTCCTGCCTCTGCAGTTGAGATGCCTGGATCAGCGGATGTGACAGGGTTAAATGTCCAGTTTGGAGCTTTGGAGTTTGGATCAGAGCCTGCACTCCCCGAGTTTGGATCAACTTCAAGCAGTGAGAATAACAGCCAGGCAACCAACAATAGCTTGTATTCAAAATCTTTAAAGTATGTGTGAGTTCCCCTCCTGCATTCTTACATGTCTTCTTTAGGGAGTCAGGTTTGTGCCAGAAATAATCAAGGCACACTTACCATGTAGTGGGAGAGGGCAATATGATGGTTTGAAAGGCTGTTTCCTAAGGCCAGTATCCTAAAAGAAGAAATTCCTTTTTGAATGACAAATCAAAATCTTCCTGCATGTGGTCAGTGTGAAGCTGGAGAGGACACGAATGTAAATAGTGATACAATAAGCTGCCCTTTATAGAATTACTTTCTCAATTTTAATTGTCTTGATTTTCAAATTTGTTTGAGGATTTGTTCCTTACAACCCCTTTCTGCTTTTGATCCGAGAGACATGACCCTTTTACTATATGTGTGTTAATAGATTGATGATGAGAAAAGAAGCCAGGCTTTCAGTATGTTGAAGCTCTTACTGAAATAAGCAATGATAAATGTCAGCATATTAGTAACCCATTTGTTTCTTCCTTATTAATTAAAAAATTGGCTTCCGTAAAAAGCTTCATGAAGTTAATTCAGTAATACTAGTAAAAATGAGCTTTCACATTAATATCTAGTTTTATAAATTATTTAATCTGTTTAGAAAGTAAAATACTCCTGCATGTTTTAGAGAATTGTTTCCTCTTTACATAGTTCATTCTTTCAGATGTTAGAATTCTATTACAAAGGAGACTGGGACTACCAGACTTTATGGATATACTTGTTTTAGAAAGAGATATTATCGTCATTGATTTATCCTTTGAGAAGGTGGAAATAACATTACTGAAAAGTGCTTGTGTGTAAACTCTTGTTTTGGTTAGGCTGGCAGAAGGAAGGTGAATGGTACTGAGTGCAGCTGATGGATTTGAAGCAGTGACTAGTGGGGATGAAACCAAATTTTTTTTCATTATTAGATTTTTCTAGTGTAAGTTGCACAGATTTGACTGCATGTGTATGGTAGTTGTAGGTAACTGTACAGGAGCTGATATTTTCATGAAGGTGTTTGAAATGTCATTTACCAAGATGATAAATAATTTTTACTTTTTCCAGTGATCCTTTGAATACCTCTTTGCCAATATCCAATACAGTACAGGAGTCCACCTACACAACCTCCGTCATCACCTCTTCCAGTCTGACCTGCTCATCCCAGAGCACTACCCCAGTAACAACTTCCTCCTATGACCAGACTTCTGTGCATAGTAGGATAGCGTACCAAAGCCCCATGGCTCCGTCTGAATCAACCCCTGTTGCAGTTACGGTGAGTGAATTTCAGAAATAAGACCCTGAAAAGGATATTCTTATCTCTTGGACTTGTGATACCCTGCTGTGTTAATACTTCTGGCCAAACCAAGTGGTATTTTTCATTACCAAGCCCACTTGGCTTTGGTTTTGCTTTTTCTGTTGTATAGCCATTTTTGGCCATACTGTAATTAGGGTGTAAGAACCCCTGATTTTATGGGTTTTGACATCTTAAATTACTGTTTGACCTTTTTTTCTTAGTAACACTTAACATGCTACTTGAGTTTGGTTCCCTCAAGCTTAGCTTTTTTTTTAAAAAAAAAAGAAAAAGAAGGAACTATCTCTGTATGTAAATATTTGCCATGGTATTTTTCCATGAATTGACAGTTTTTATCCAAAGGTATATTATTTATTAGATTGATATGGCATCTAGCCATATAAAATCCCAAACTGTTTGTGGTCCCTCCAGTGTTACTCCTCTGTAGGATTTAAACACCAGTGGGAATTAGTTTCATGTTTTATTTCAAAAAGCATAGGGATGGTCTAACCTATGACAGAGAGGATCTCTCCTGGGGGATTCAAAAGCACCTACTATCTTTGTATATGGAATATAGGTTTGTTTTAAGAGAATTTATTAAATGTTTAAGGAACTTGTCAGAGTTTGTAAGTTTATTTACTTCTGGCCTTTGTTATGTAATGGCTCAGTCACACTTGTCTTCTGCACTAGCTCGTATGTACTGGTGAGGATCAAGCATAGACTATCCACTTCTGTACTCCAGCGTTACCCAAAAACCAACTGGTGCTTCTCAAGTCTTATCTTTCAATGGAAAAAAATTGGCGTCTCTGTGTAACTTGGATAGTTAAAATTGTGAGTTGCATTAGATCAAAAGCACAACCATTTCCTATATGTTAATGCAATTCTTTCTTTCATATCGGTGTGAACCTGCAGTTTATGTTCTATACAGTACATGGGAAGGTCTCCTGCTGATGGGTGTAGTATGGGCAGTGTATGGGATTCTGTGTGTTCAGGGCACCTTGCACTTCAGACAACTATTACGTGGTTTTGTTGAAGGCAGTATAAAATACGATTTTCTGCCTTTTTTTGTCTTTCAATCTAGAATGAATATATTTGCATGAAGCATGTTCGATGTGTGATTCAGTCTGAAAATTTAGTATGCTTCTAAGATGATTTATTGATTTCTTCTTTGTTTACAGAATGGGCACAGTGGTGTTAGAACACAGGCTACTCTTGACAGTAAGTTTACAAAGCTTGGTTGCGCAAAGGACTTTCTGATCTTTCCTTATTACTTGCTGAGCACACAACTGTAGCAGTGACATCTGGTTTAAGGTTTTCTATTGTTCTCCCTGACTAATTCTTGGCTGACCTATTTGAGTTTCTTTTGTGCTTGCACATAGTACAGTGCTTGCTTCTTGACTTTCAGTCAAGAATTATTAGCAGCCCTAATAAATCTACAAACCTAAGCAGTCTTAAAGAAGCTGCTTTGCTGCTGCTTTTCCTTTTAAATTTACCTGCCAAAATTATTTACTATAAAATGAAAAAATACTTAATTTCTTAGCAGTTCCTCCAGTTCTCAGTTGGGAAGTTGCAAGTAGCGTTTAGCTATAATGAAACAGTCTCAATCTTTGAGTGCACCTCTCAGTGGGTATAGTGCTACTTATGCCCTATAACTCATCCAGTGTGTTCCCTGTGCCAGGTAGCTTGCTGCCTTGCACTGGAGTAACACCACCCCAGTACTGGCTCTGATACAGGCACAACTGTTAACCTTCATTTTGGTCTGTTTCTAATGTGGTATTTTACTTGTAGCACTCCTACAGCTCTCCTCCTGAAGTTAAAATAATTAAAGTGTAGTATTTCCTTTTCTGACCTTTATGTGCTACTCTATGGAAGTTTCCAAGGGCAGCAGTCTGAATAAACATCTTTTAGTATACCAGCACTTCAATTTCAGGTTTGTCCTTCTCTTAAGCATCTCTTCAGGTAGGTCATTAGCGGGGCTGCCTTTTTTTTTTATACTTCTGAGTAGAAAGAAGTTGAGTATTCAGACCTGTAAACAGTGCCAAGTCCAATTTAAATGAGTGGGAAGAGTATATGTGCCCTAAGAGTTACCACTTAAAATATTGTTATATATAAAGACAACTTCTGAAGTGGAAAACTTTCCTACTCGCATGTACAGAATTAATAAACAATTTATAAAATTCACTACAGGACTTGTCATTTTGCTATGGAAAATAAAAATCTGCTAATTCCTAGTATTTTTTTTTTTTTTTTAGTTATTCTGTGACGGCTCTATTAGTCCCTTTTTCTATGCCAGTTTTCTTTTGAAAAAACTTTTTTTTTTTTCTGTATCTCAACCTCAGAAACTGAAATCAGTCTTCTTCCATGTATTTATTTCATGCATCCAAATCAATCAGTTTCCTTCTCTGTTGTCAGTTACTCTCCTGCTTACAGCCATGGCAAGGACCTTTTGATTTCTGTTTGTTCTGGCTAAATGACCAAATCCAGCAACCTGACCTGGATCATTTAGTCAGAACAATAATGTGAACAATCTGGGTAGAGAACCTTCCAAGTGTATGTTTGACTCCTCTTTGGTGACCGTTCTAAAACTGTCTTTACATATACTGCCGGTTGGTGATTCACTGGGTAGTGGTCTCTGTTGTGCTGTGGAAGCATGGCCCTGCCTTCTGCAGGGCTCAGCTCTCTTTCTGGGTTTTTTTGATGGGTGGGTGCCTTTGAATCTTTGAACTTTGTATTGTTTTTGCAGGACAAGATGCAAATGTAGAAACTGGGAGTTAATGTTGTGCTATAAAGTTGTTCAGTATCTTATTACAGTACAGTGGTCCTTTGGAAAGGCACACCTGTGGTAAACAAATTTTACTCTGTGTAGCCAAAAATCTAATACTGAAGCTAAACACTTTTTGATATATTAGGTCAAATAAAGTAAGTCGGTATTTGACAACTCTTTAGCCATTAAAAGTCCTTAATGCTGTGCTCGATTTTGGCCTTTTATTGTAGCTGGTTTTATTCTACTGCATTACACATTCGGCTGAGTACTCCAAATGGTTAAGTGCCTTTGTGCTACAGGGACATGGGTCTTGATCATCAAAGATGCTGTGTAGGTTGCAGTGAAGAAGCAGAGGTGTAGGTAAAAGCAGATATTTGAAAAGCTCAAATTACTTTTGTTTACACAGCCAAATCCAAGGTATTTTAAAATGAGGATTGACTTGTGAGCGAAAGCTAGTAATCCCGATAGTGGGAGATGAAGTGCAGAAGACTATAGTTTACTACAGGTGTAATAGTGAAAATTATTAATCTGTTGTAGGCAAACAGCTTAAAGGGAAAAAGCAATAGCTCTGTTGCTGTTTGATTTTTCTTTAATAGCCAGATTGCTTGATGCTGGTACTTAAGGGTCAGGTTTTTGTAAACCAAGAGGAGAATACTGTTGTGTTCCTGAATCTAGGCTGGGACATCAGGTATGCTGGAATTTGTCTTTTAATGCCTTTTTTTAAAATTTGTTACAGCTACATCATCAGTTCCAGCGCCTAAGACAGAGCCTCCTCCCTCACTACCTTCTGCTGGTTCTCTGCCTAGTGTGGTATCCACCACTGCCTCGCTTTTGCCTTCAGCATCGCAGCACGTGGCGACATTGCCCAGCTTGCCCCAGTCTGGTGATTTGGCCAGCTGCTCACTTTCCCAGTTAAGCAGGTACAGCAGGAATTGTGATAAACTGAAAGGGTTTCTGTTCTGGAGAAAGAACAGACATAAGGGTGATTGTGTAAGGGGGGCTGTCAGACACCAGGATCCCCTTTTCTAACACTAACTAGGAGAGAGATCTAAGAGAGACCAGGATATTTCTGGTTTCAAAGAATCAGCTTTGGGCTGCTTTCTAATGATAGAGAAACACCTGATGCCCTCAAGTTTTTGTGGTATATAAACAACTTTGTGTTTCAAGGGGCTCTTGCTTCAATCATGCCAGCTAAATTGATTCCCCCAGTTTACTTTCCCTACTTCATCCACAGTGCCTGATGTTTGTTTAGTGTCATATGTTTGATATCATTCTGTAACAGTTTACTTCCTGGTTAATTTTGAAATATTGTAGTTTCATTTATATTTGTATTTCTTAAAATTAAAACCCAGAAATAATTCCACAGGGAATGTGGGTGGGTTTGTTTGTTTTTCTAAGACATTTCCTTAAGACGGAATGATTGCTGGGTCGGAACAATCCCAGGCACAGCTACAGGTTGGGCAGAGAAGAGATTCAGAGCAGCCCTGTGGAGAAAGACTTGGGGGTGTTGGTGGATGAGAAAATGAACATGGGCCAGCAGTGTGCACTTGCAGCCCAGAAAGCCAACTGTATCCTGGGCTGCATCAAAAGGAGAGTGACCAACAGGTCGAAGGAGGTGATCCTGCCCCTCTACTCTGCTTTTGTAAGACCTCACCTGGAATACTGTGTGCAGTTCTGGTGTCCTCAACATCAAAAGGACATGGAACTGTTGGAACAAGTCCAGAGGAGGGCCACGAGGATGATCAGGGGACTGGAGCACCTCCTGTATGAAGACAGGCTGAGGGAGTTGGGGCTGTTCAGCCTGGAGAAGAGAAGCTGCGTGGAGACCTCATAGCAGCTTCCAGTATCTGAAGGGGGCCTATAGGGATGCTGGGGAGGTACTGTTCATTAGAGACTGTAATGACAGGAAAAGGGATAACGACTTAAAACTTAAACAAGGGAAGTTTAGATTGGATATGAGGAGGAAATTCTTTCTTGTTAGGGTGGTGAGGCACTGGAATGGGTTGCCCAGGGAGGTTGTGAATGTTCTGTTCCTGGCAGAGTTCAAGACCAGGTTGGACGAAGCCTTGGGTGGTATGATTTAGTGTAAGGTGTCCCTGCCCATGGCAGGGGGGTTGGAACTTGATGATCTTAAGGTCCTTTCCAACCCTAACTATTCTATGATTCTATGATTCTAAGACACTTCAAAATACCAGATTGGTGTCCTGGAAGTGCATCCAGCACAGCCTATCTCATTTGTGCTATCCATCCGATTTACCTCAGTGCTTATTACATGAGCTTCATCCTCAGGCAGGTGACACCCTGAGGATGTACTGGTTGAGCTGTATTTTTAATGCTCACCTTCATAGTGTATTTGTTAATGTAAGAAACTAATTTGGTGGGGTAACAAGATTTTTTTGCCTGTTTCACAACTAGGACATCGTTGATTCAATACACTAGTGCTTTCTATTTAATAAAATGCTAAATACGTCAAATAACAAGAATTATTCCATTCACATTAATATCATGTCCCCACATTTGTTTGTTGAAAAGCTGTAAACATTGGTAGATATTTTAAATGGAAGGGTAATGCTTCTGGGCAGATAACAAGTGCCATGAAAAGATGGTGCCTGAATTCTAAGCATGCCTGATTTGGTTGTGCTGGTGGCTGTTGTATGTGTCTCTACCATAGGTCAGAAACTGAATTAAGGCTTATTAGAAGAGCTGGGGAGAGCGGTGAAGGGGTGGTTTAAAACTGCATGTTGGACTGAACTATTTCTTTCCTTGCTGCCTGAAGTGATGTCATTGTAATTCTTGCAGATGGGGAGCAGTCTTAGAAAGTGGCAGTAGCATTAATCTATGAAACTGCCGAGATTTATTCTGGTCCCACACCTTGAAAAACAGCCAGAAGTGTTTGCCCTTAAATTAGGGTATATACTTTAGCCTGCAATTTTGTTACAAAAACTGATGTATTTTCTTGTAGCTATTTCCATAGAGAATACTTAAGTATTTGTTATGATTAGGATTTTCATGCCTCTGATTCAACATGAGGAGGAGTTTCTTGGGCACCAAACCATATGTATTTTTTATGGCTTTGGTTTGCCTTTGGTCAGAGTTAATTATATTTATTCCATACTGTACATTAAATTATGTTCTTTACCTCAAATGTAAAGTGTAAGTTTTATCAGTGTAAATGTTTAAGAACCAGTGTCAGTCACCTTTCAGGGAGACACTTAAAGGCCTTGGGATTACAGATGAATGTTGGTGGTGCCAGAAGTTCACAGGCTTTCTCAGATAGGGGAAAAAAATGTGGTATTAAAGTTTTGAGTGGTTGAACTAAACTTATGCAGGTTAAAATGTGAGAAAAAACATAATAAAACAAAGCACTACCTCACCTAATTAATACCTGTGCCCTATGGCAGGCAGCAGCAGGTGCTTAGGAAAAGAACGAGACACAAACTTTGTGTTCTGTATACCTTCTGAGTTTGGATTTTAAGTGTCTTGGTGGTGTTGCTATATAATTCCTGAAGCAACTGTTGTTTTCTAAAAATATAGTGAATTGATAGATACAAATTATTGGAGTTTCAGATGTTTCTTGTTTATAGCATTTGTCTCTGTTCTTCAACTTTTTTTTTTTTAAGTAGTAGAATACTAATTTAAAGGAAAAAATGTCTGTAGCGGTGTGTATATATGCACAATTTTCTCTAATACCCTAAGGTGTGTTTATGTGTACACGTATCTACAATTTTAGTTCTTTTAACTAATATCCTACTACCTACTCGATGTTTACATATAAATATATGTTCATATATATAAAAATATATATATATATAAACAGTTCTAGAAAAAAATAATTTTAGTAATCCTTTGCGATTTTTTTATAGCTCCCTTTCCAATCATCAGAGCAGCCTCTCCCCTGCCTCAGTGTTGTCTTCAGGTGCATCACATGTGGTAAGACCTATTTGGGTTTCAACAGATGTTTGGCATATGGTCAATTTATCTGATTATTAAGACCTTCTCTCTTAAAGTTCATTGTGTCCCACCACCCGCCGAACCAAAACAAAGAGCCTTGTCTTAGGGAATAAGGACTGCCAGCCCTCTAGTGGTAAAAAAGTCTTTACCACTTTTACACAGTATCACAGTATGCTAGAGATTGGAAGGGACCTCGAAAGATCATCTAGTCCAATCCCCCTGCCGGAGCAGGAACACCTAGATAATGTTACACAGGAATGTGTCCAGGTGAGTTTTGAATGTCTCCAGGGAAGGAGACTCCACAACCTCCCTGGGCAGCCTGTTCCAGTGTTCCGTCACCCTCACTGAGAAGAAGTTTCTTCTCAAGTTTAGGTGGAACCTCTTGTGTTCCAGTTTGTACCCATTACCCCTTGTCCTATCATTGTTTGCCACTGAGTAGAGCCTGGCTCCATCCTCGTGACACTCCCCCTTTATATATTTATAGACACTTATAAGGTCTCCCCTCAGTCTCCTCTTCTCCAAACTATAGAGACCCAGCTCCTTCAGCCTTTCCTCATAAGGGAAATGCTCCACTCCCCTAATCATCTTAGTTGCCCTGCGCTGGACTCTCTCCAGCAGCTCCCTGTCCTTCTTGAACTGAGGGGCCCAGAACTTGACACAATATTCCAGATGGGGTCTCACCAGGGCAGAGTAGAGGGGAAGGAGGACCTCTCTCGACCTACTAACCACCCCCCTTCTAATACACCCCAGGATGCCATTGGCCTTCTTGGCCACAAGGGCACAGTGCTGGCTCATGGTCATCCTGTCGTCCACTAGGACCCCCAGGTCCCTCTCCCCTACACTGCTCTCTAACAGGTCGTTTCCCAACCTGTACTGGAACCTGGGGTTGTTCCTGCCCAGATGCAGGACTCTACACTTTCCCTTGTTATACTTCATCAAGTTATTCCCTGCCCAACTCTCCAGCCTGTCCAGGTCTCGCTGGATGGCAGCACAGCCTTCTGGCGTGTCAGCCACTCCTCCCAGCTTAGTGTCATCAGCAAACTTGCTGATAGTACACTCAATTCCCTCATCTAAATCATTGATGAATATATTAAATAATACTGGTCCCAGTACTGACCCTTGAGGCACTCCAGTAGTTACAGGCCTCCAACTAGACTCCGCCCCATAGACTACAACTCTCTGGCTTCTCTCCTTCAGCCAGTTCACAGTCCACCTCACTACCTGATCATCCAGACCACACTTCCTCAATTTAGCTGTGAGGATGCTGTGGGAGACTGTGTCAAATGCTTTGCTGAGGTCAAGGTAGACCACATCCACCGCTCTGCCATCATCCATCCACCGTGTTATTTCCTCATAAAAGGCTAAGAGATTGGTCAAACATGATTTCCCCTTGGTGAAGCCATGATGACTGCCCCTCATAACCCTCTTATCCTTGATATGCCTTAAGATGGCACCAAGGATAAGGTGTTCCATCACTTTCCCAGGGCTGGAGGTGAGGCTGACCGGTCTATAGTTACCCAGGTCCTCCTTCTTGCCCTTTTTGAAGACTGGAGTGACATTTGCTTTTCTCCAGTCCTCAGGCACCTCTCCCATTTCCCAAGACTTGGTAAAGATGATGGAGAGTGGTCTAGCAATGACTTCCGCCAGTTCCCTCAGCACCCGCGGGTGCATCCCATCTGGACCCATGGGTTTATGGATGTCCAGATTGCTCAACTGATCTCTAACCCATTCCTCATCGACTAAGGCAAACCGCTCCGTCGACCTGACTTCATCTAAGGTCTCAGGGGCACAGGGCTCTTCAGGACTGCCTGCAGCAGAGTAGACAGAGACAAAGAAGGCATTCAGTAACTCTGCCATCTCTGTATCTTCTGTCACCAGGGCACCCATCCCGTTCATCAGTGGGCCTACATTGCCCCTGGTGTTAGTTTTATCTGCCATGTATTTCAAAAAGCTCTTTTTGCTGTCCTTGACCCTTCTCACCAGGTTTAATTCTAAGGAGGCCTTAGTCCTCCTAGCTGCCTTCCTACATCCTCTAGCAGCAGCCTTATATTCCTCCCAAGTGGCCAGCCCCTCCTTCCATGACCTGTAAACTCTCCTCTTCCACTTGAGCATACCCAGCAATTCCCTATTCAGCCACGAAGGTCTCCTGGCCCTCTTCCTTGACTTCCTACGTGTCGGGATGCTCCGATCTTGAGCTCGGAAAAAGCAGTCCTTGAATGTCAACCAACTGTCTTGGGCCCCTTTACCTTCAAACAGCCTTGCCCATGGGATTTTCCCCAGCAATTGCTTGAAAAGGCCAAAGTTTGCCCTGCTAAAGTCCAGGGTTGCAATTCTACTTGCTATTCTACTAGTCCTACCACACAAGATCCTGAACTCCGCCATCTCGTGGTCGCTGCAACCAAGGCAGCCCTCAACCCTTACTGCTTCAACCAGATCTTCCTTGTTAGTGAGGATGAGATCCAGCAGCGCTCCTCTCCTGGTTGGCTCATCCACCATTTGCAGGAGGAAGTTATCATCCATACACTGGAGGAACCTCCTGGACTGTGTCTGGGTTGCCGAGTGGTCCTTCCAGCAAACATCAGGGAAGTTAAAATCCCCCACGACGACCACGGCCTGTGACTGTGAGGCCGCTCTCAGCTGCCTGTAGAAGGCCTCGTCAACTTCCTCACCCTGATCTGGTGGTCTGTAACAGACACCCACAACAGTATCGCCCCTGCCAGCCTGCCCCTTCATTCTCACCCACAGACTCAACTCGCTCGTCATCTCTTCCTGGACAGAACTCGGTGCATTGTAGTTCCTCCCGCACATAAAGAGCAACCCCACCACCCTTACTGGCTGGCCTGTCTTTCCTGAAAAGGACATAGCCCTCCATGACTATATTCCAGTCATGTGAGCTGTCCCACCACGTCTCTGTAATTGCCACCAGATCATAGTCTCCTGACTTAACACAGGTTTCCAACTCCTCCTGCTTATTTCCCATGCTGCTCGCATTGGTGTACAGACATTCCAGGGAGCGAGCTGAGCACACCGATTTCACCCTAGGATTATAGGAGGCCTCCCAGTCTTCATCAATTCTGGAGTGCTGCCCCACTGGGGCAAGCCCAGCTACAACCCCATCCCCCTTTGAATCTAGTTTAAAGCTCTCCAAATGAGCCCTGCTAATTCGTGCCCCAGCATCCTTTTGCCTCTGTGAGATAAACCTTTCCCACACGCCATTGTCCAGACTGGTGCCCTATAAAACCAGCCGTTATCAAAGAATCCAAAGCCCTGCCTGCAGCACCAGTCTCGAAGCCAGTCGTTTATGAACTGAATCTTCCCATTCCTTCCCACATCATCAGTGGAAGATGGAAGGAGTGAGGAGAAGATCACTTGAGCCCCAGACTCTTTCACCATCTGCCCCAAGGCCCTGTAGTCTTTCTTCATCCCCCTCAGACTGCAGGAAGCAGTTTCCGCCTCACCTGTCTGGAAGACCAGCAGCGGGTAGTAGTCTGTTGGATGCACCAGGTTGGGGAGCGCCCTAGTGATATCCCTGATCCAGGCTCCAGGCAGACTACACGCTTCTCTTTAATTTGTATTAGATCAGGAATGGCTGTTACAGACTTGCCAGTTACACAACTGCAGATGAAAACTTCGTGCCAGCAAGGGGGAATGGAACAAAGAAATAATTTCTTGCAGTAAATACACTGGGGAGGGGAATAAATCTTTAGAAGTGGCTGTCTGAAACTGCTTCAAAAACGTGGACTGTTTTTGTCTAGCAATCTGCACTCCAGAGGTTAGCTGGCAAAATGCAGGTGGTGGCATGATACATGTCAAGACGACTGTCTCATGACAGATGATTTTGAGTTTACCATGTGGCATTGTTGTCACCTGTCTATTTAATGCATTTGTTTCAAATGGCAGTGAACACAGTGCTATAGATGAGGTTCCACAAACAAAGGTCAGAAACACAGCCTTTTTCTGTGATGGGGTACTTCTGTACAATTCCATTTGGGGTCTGCAGATAGGTTATTACTTGTCTTTGTGCCTGTATTTTGGTTTGTAATGCTTCATCCCTATGGAGTATGTAACTTGAAAGTTCACACTTAATCAAGCATCCTTTCTGTTGTCAAGAGTTATTTTGGCTTGTGTGTGTTGATGACACTGTTTTGCAACTGTGATCAGCTTACAGCTGAGGCACTCTTTTATCCTCATTTGTTCCTGCAGTACATCTGCTCTGAGCTTGTTTACCACACTGACTCTGTGTGGGGCACTGCAGTTTTAATCTTCTAAATTCCACAAGTGCATTTGGAAACAAATACAATCTTTTGAAAGAATATAGGAGTTTATTTGTCGTAATAAGTACTAGCTTAAAGGAGTCTACAGACGAAGGGCAAGATATGATGTGGTGGAGTGACGTTTGAATTACTATGGAATAATTTTGTGATGATGTAGTGATTTGAATTTAACACTAATAATTTTGTTTGAATACTTAAAATCACAAGCATGCAACTTAGTTGCTTCCTTGGTATATAGATAATGCTTATCTTTTGCATGTGCTGCTACTACTTTAAAGATTGTTGGGTTTTTTTTGATGGTTGGTCATCATCCCAGCATCTTCCACTGTGGTTTATTTGCTCTGTGATTATCATTTTTGTCTCCTTTCTAGCACACTAGTGTTGAGAACACAAGCTCGCTCCAGCCTTCAACAACCTTTTCAACTGTTTCAACCTCAGCCACTAGCACCACCTCTTCAGTTGTCAGCATGGCAAGCAGTATGAACACTACAAACAGCCTTGGCCTGAGCGTTTCCAGTGTGTCCATACCAACTGCTACTTCACGAGCAGCTCCCTTAGTGTCTTCAGGTTCGCAATATTAACAGATCGCGTGGATAGACAGAGGACTTCAGTCAGCAGGGCTGTCAGTTGAGCTTCTCATCAGCCATAACTACGCTGAGAAATCCACACTCGACTAGCGTTTTCAGCATGCTTAATTTGCTGGCTTATAAAATAAAGTTGTCTGGTTCCGTGTATTTGAAATATTTCTTAGGGTGTTATGTGGCATTTATATAGCACATTCCATCCCCAAAGAGTTTGATAAGTAGACACCAATGCAGTTCTAACTTTGGAAATCTTGGTCTAAGAGATTCACACTGTTCGTATTACACATTGTGATCACCTTTGGGCTGTGAGTTCACCTTAGGTTTAATTTCTGTCTTCTCTGTGACTCGAATTCATTTGCGAGTATCAGTATATACTGCAGTGTCCTCATTATCATATGCCACATCCCTACTGCCACATGTACGGAAAGGAAAAAAGTGTCTGGTGTCTAGGTCATTCCACAGCAAACAGTACTTCAGAAAAAGGGCCCACAGAGAGAGAAAGGTGGGGTGGCCTCTTGCACTGAAGTGGAAGCAATGATAAATTCTCTTCTGTTTCTCTGTAAGCAACTTGAAGTGCTAAATGGAAATCCTGTGGAGGGAAGTGGATGATTCAGATATTAAGATCAAGCTTACTTACAGAAGGATTTCTCATTTTTCATTCCCATACTTTGTAAATGAAGTGTGATGACTTTCCAAAGTGCCTTTTTTTTTTTTTCCTCCATTGCCTGCTTCCTAGCACTGCTTTATGGAGGCAACAGAAACTCAGTCTTCTTCTTGTTGCTATTCTCAGTTGCAGTAAGTCACCCATGAAAAATATGCTGGCAACATTTAGTGCTTTCCAGTCTGCTGCTGGTGTTAAGGGGGAATGTGTTGACAGAGCAGAAAATGAGAGAATTTGCTCTCTTAGATTGAGAACGATGCCTGAATTTTGCTTTCAGGAAAGGAGTGAGGAAGGAAGAAGTGTTTGTAATTCTTGTAATGCCCTTGGAGAAAGTAAATGACAGAATGAGACTGTTCTGTGCTGGGACTGCTTTGAGTTCTAAGTCACCTGTACTTTTCTTTCCTTGAGGCATGGTTAAACTCTTCAGCCTATTTTGAGTGTTTTCATCAACCAGCACAAAATTATTCTGCTTAGTTCTGCTAAGCTATCACAGTGCAGCCGCCAGGGCTTGTGAGCGATTTTGTCTCGATGCTGAAGCCTTATCTTCTCTAGAGGCTTGTTAAAGTATCTGTATTTTGATTCTGCAGGCAAAGCTCCCCCAAACCTGCCCCAAGGTGTACCACCCTTGTTGCATAACCAGTATATTGTGGGACCTGGAGGACTTCTGCCTGCCTACCCAGTAAGCAATTTAATTGTTCTGTCCTTGACTGCTTAACTCTTAGTGCAAGTGGGCCCTCCAGACCTGCTGCTGTCTATGCCAAGGCATTAATGTTGGCACATGTTGCACCTGGAATTGCTGTTCCAAATGCTGAAGGCTGTATGAATTATATTCTGGGTGGTAGTTACTGTTGATAGTAAACTGAAGAAGTGTCTGTACAGACCTGATCGGCTGCTGTTGAAGCTAAATGTGCATGTTGCTATGCTTTTCAGTGCTATTAGTTTTTAGGCCGTTTTAGTAGAATTACATTTGTTTAGGTTTGTGATAGTGGAATACATTTTCTATAGTAATAGTTGAAATGTTCCATGTGTCTTGTCTGCCGTACTTTGAAAGATTGCACATAACTGCTTGGTGTCTGACCAGGATTAACACATTTTTGGTTATCTGTTATTTTGAATTGGAAACTTCATCTTTCTGTATCACACTGAATGCAAGGGGATACCATAGGTTGCTTTGTGGTCTAGTCATAAAATAACAATTCCTGCTATTCTCTGCTGCAGTTACTACTTCTAAGAAGGCTGATTCTCTTACTCCCAAGTATGAATGCCCTGTAGGTTTTTTACGTGTTGATGAAAGATGCATCTGTAGAAACAGTGTTGAAGGCGGGACAGTCAAACACTCCTTGAAGGACTGCTCTCAGCAAGAAACATCAGAGTGACAAGCCATTTTAAGCATAGCTGAACCAGCCTTAAAATGCTACAGCACACTGTGGTGTCACAACGCAATATATAGACGTACACCTTTAAAATAGACTGGGCCTAAGTCAAACTCCTGTTTAAAGCCCCAAACTGCTCAGAGGAAAGTATTATAATGATGTTGTATTTTTATCTGTCTTTAAGCAGATTTATGGTTATGATGATCTCCAGATGCTTCAATCCAGGCTGCCAATGGTAAGTAAATGACATAATTTATTTACATTTAAACAAGTTATCTTCAGTGTTGACAAACGCGTTCATTTAGTGGTGGTTAAGACCTTATCCTTATGTTTTAAGTTCTGTTTTCTTAAATATCCACAAACAATTTCTCTGGGTGGTACAGATTGATACAGAGCAACTGTTGCATCATGCATTTGTCATCTGGAAATTCTGTAAACAGCAAGTATGGTCTGTCCTTTTGGGTGATGAAATTTTCTATTGTTGTAGCAGCAGTATGAGGTCTTCTCAAATCTAGTTGAAATCTGGGTGTTTAGTTTTCCCAACAGGTAAGGCTGAACACCAAGTACACAAATTGATAGCCAGTAGGTGCTCCTGGTGTTGGAGGTGCTCATAGGTGGAGATCTTTGTGTACGTATCATGGCAATAAATGCACGTGAGCTGCAGGAGGGGAAGTATAGGAAGTTTTCTTTCTTACCAGATCCAGAATGTATATGACATGCTAGAGACACTGAGCTCCCAGACAGGTTGACAAATGATCCTCAGCCTAGGTTGCAGAAATGCAAAGAATTTTGTTTTCAGGAAAGTAGGACAGGGATCTTGGGAGAGAAAGGCAGGTAGTATGTAACTGAGAAGTCACAAGATAAAATGATGAAGTTTATGCGGGGGGGAGGGCAAAACTGGAGCAGTAAGTTGTGATATGGAAAAGAAGTATCACTGGGTGAATGCAATAATTAAAGGTCCAGGACAGTACCGGGTCTTTCATGTGGAATCTAGGGACAACCAGAGTTAGATAGTCAAAGATGAGTCCAGGGATGTCACAGAAAAACCCTGTCCACCTGCACATCCTGAATTAAAAGAATAAAGCCACGCACATTGCTGAAGATAGCCAATGAGGCATGATCCTTGGAAGAACTGTAAGCTGCAATGAATAGCAAAGCTAGAAAAACCTTACCTTGCAAACACAACACACATGGTTACATTGGTAGGATCTTTTCTAGGATTGCTGTTCACTTCTATCAGCCTGCACTTCCCAGATGTTTCCTCATTTTCTGTTGCTCTCTGGGCAGGAGTGCTTTTCTCCACATAGGTGGGCCACGAAGTCATGCAGGGGCTGGAGCTGAGCGTGACTCTTAATGGAAATTTAAGTTCCAAGAGGGCAGCAGCTGAAAATTATTGATGTTCTATATATGTAGGGAGAGCAAATGGAAAGAAATAAGTTAATGGGAAATGCATAATCTAAAATAAAGACAGCAAAGCAGCAGAAGAAAAGATCCTTAACCTCTTCATTAAGAGAAAGGATGAACTAGAGAAAATGTAGGATAGATGTTGTTAGTGTGGCTGTATATAACACTAAGTTCTACAGTATCTGGAAACCAGGTTCCTGGAGGATGGTGCTGCACTCTTTTCAGTGGTGCCCAGCAACAGGACAACGAGCAAGGGTCATAAACCAAAACGAAGAGGTTACACCACAAGAGAAGGCAGACCATCTTTATGCTGAAGGTTGTAGACCACTGTAACAGGCTGCCCAGGGGGTACTGGAGTCTGCTTCTCTGCAAACATTCCAAACCCGCCTGGATGCATCCCTGTGTAACCTGCTTCAGGTGGCCATCGCTTGGCAGAAGGTTGTACTGGATGATCTCCATAGATCCCTCCCAAAAGTAGTGATTCAGTGATTCTGTGATTGTGAGTTCTGCAAGCTTTTGGAGCAGGGAAACGCATGTGTGGTGCTGGTGGTGGTGTCAGGGCATTGTCGGGGGCTGGAAGCCACGGTGATGTCGGGCAGTGTTATGTTGTTGCTTGCTGTGGTTGGGGTGCTGGAACATGCAGGATGATGTGGGGTGCTGGAAGGTGCGGGATGATGTGGCGTTGCCAGGAGCCATCAGTGCAGGAGGCAGGGCCGTTGTGGATGTGCATGGCTGGGTCCTTGTGCGTGTTGCCCTACAAGAGTCGGTGCTGCAGGTCAGCTGTCAAGCAGCACAGGGAGAGAGTTGTGACTGATGGGGGAGGAGGCCAGAGTAGCCGAAGGTGGCCTAATGCAAGGGCTCTGTGCCATGCCTGCATGCCTGTGCTTCCTAGCGGCATGGCACGGCTTGGGCTGGGTTGGGAGTGACTTTGCCAGTTTTCTGCGTTGGAGCCGCCGAGCGGTGAGCAGGGCCCCCTTCCAGCAGACGAGGTGTCTCTGGGCCATGAGCAGCCCGAGTTGGAATGTTTGCAGGGACGGGGCATCTCCCATTTCTCTGAGCAACCTGTTGGAGTTTTTTAGCAGCGTCATGGTAAATAGCGTCATTTTTGTAGCTCTTGTTAGCGTGAAAGCCTTGCTCCTCGTCCGATGGCGACAGGCTGTATTCAGAGGTGTGTCCCCATGGTTCTCGTAAGCCCCTTAAAGGCCACTGGCACTTCTCTCTGGAGTCTTCTCTTGTGCGCAAGCCCAACTCTCAACCTCTCCTGCTCAGAGCTGTGTTCCAAGCCTGTGGTGGTGTTTGCGCTCCTGCCACGGGAGCGGCACGAGAGGTCTGTACGTTGCGTGTAGTGAATAGGCGAGAGGCGGTGATCCTCACTGGGTCTGAAGCGGGCTGGGTGGGGGAAGACATTGGGGACGCAAATGCCTGAGAATTGCTTCTGCAGAGGATGACTGAACTCTGTCAAAGGCTTTCCAAAGGTGTTGGGAAGTGCCTCTTTGGAGAGGTGTGAAGTGGAAGTGAGGGCATGGGGTGTGCAGATCCCTGTTTGGAGCAAGGCTTGGAGTAGGTGTTGGGGAGAAGCGGCCTCCCCCTGGCCGAAGGAGAGGTTGGTCCGCTTGTGAGAAGAGAAGCAGACTGAATTACTGAATGCCTTGTTTTCCTCAGTCTTTATCCCTAAGGGTGGCCCTTAGGAGTCTGTGACCTCAGAGCTTCACCACAGACCAAGCAGAGGTTGGTGCGCTTGTGAGAAGAGAAGCAGTGGCGGGTTTCGTCAAGAGGTCTTTATTTGGTGTGAATAAATAGGTGAATAAATAGGTGGCATCGTGTGTGCCAATAAATAGAGCAGGGGTGTCGGGGAGCAGCGGGCGCAGGAGAGACGCGGGGTCAGGGCGTCTCTTGCGGCGGCTGTGTCGGAGGGTGCTGTAGGCCCGAGGCGGGTGCGCGCGGGCGCTGCCCCGGTGTTGCTGGTGTCGGGGCGGTGCGGGAGCGTGGGGTCGCTGGGCTAATTGGGCACGGTGCGGGTGAGGTTGTGCAGGTGCTGGAAGCAGAGGCGAGCTTCGAGGCGGACGTGGTCCCAGGCGCAGGCGCTGTGGTTGTGGGTGCGCAGGAAGTCCTGGATGTGTCGGAAGTATTTGTTGATGGTGAGCAGCGGGCTGCGAGGCCCTTGTCCCGGGAAGAGCGTGGCGTTGTCCGTCAGGCAGTGCTGGAGGCGCTGGATGCGGTGCTGGAGGCTGTTGAGGAGCTGGTGGCGTGGCTCGTTGTGCCAGTGCTGGGGGGTGGTGGGGCTGCTGAGGGTGTGGAAGAGGTGCTGGAGGATGCGGAGGGCGGTGGCGGCGGCTTGCTGCGGGTGGCTGATGTGCAGGAGGGTGTCGGGGAAGAGGGGCGCCTGCTGGTGTTGGCAGGGCGGTGTGGGGCTGGGAGCCATGGCCTGGAGGAGCTGGAGGCTGCGCCAGGGGAAGGTGTCATCGCGGGCAGGCCGGTGGTGGCAGGCGAGGCCGGTGGCGAGAGCCGTCAAGAGGAGCAGGAGCGCCGGGGCGCCGCAGCCCAGGTGGGGCTGTGCGGTTGCGGGCGTAGGCATGGTGGGGCTGTGGGTGCTGCCTGGGGGGTGCTGGGCAGGAGCGTGCCGCGTCTCGGTGGTGGTGCGGGTGGGCGCTGTGCTGGGGGTTCTGCCGGGTGGCAGCTTTATGTGGTGCCACCGCGGCTTCCCCTTCCTCGCTTTCCGCTTGCGGCCGCTTGCCGGTTGTGGTTTCCATTTTGGGCTGGGGTCTGTGCTGCTCCTGGGGAAGAGCCTTTTCTGGGGTGTCTGTGGGTGGGGAAGTCCTTGGCCGTGCTTTGTGGTTGTGTTTGGGTTGGTGCCGGTTATGGCGGCAGGGGTTTTGATGTAGCGGTTCGTGGAGGCGGGAAAGCTCAGGGGCAGCCACATGTGGGGCGCTTGTGCTGCTGGTGAGTTTTTTGTGGTTTCTGCTTTTCCTCTTTGTCCCTGTCTCTTTGCAGTTGTGTTGTGCTGGATTTCCCTTCCTGCCCAATTCCCTTTTCCTTTTGTTGGGCTGTAGTAGTGGTTGCGGGGTTTTGGTTTTGGTACTGTTTTGTGTGGGATGGCATCATTGTATTCAGTGATGACATCATTGCTTATTCTCTTTTTTGGGTAAATTGTGCCATTTCTTTGTTTCTCTCCGATTTTGTTTTTTATCACTGGTTGTGCATCATTTCTATCTTCTGTAAAATGTTTTTTTTTCAGTGATGTCTTTTTTTCTGGAGGTCCTGTGTGACTTCTTGTGCTGAGGCTTGGCATCAGAGGTGGTTGTCGGTGGCCTTGTGAGTTGAAATGTCCTTTGTGCTGAAAGGCCCTTGCTGAGGGATGGGGTGGCTAGGAGTGCTCTGGGTAAGCTGTGACATTGTCTCACCGCCTTCGTGGTGAAGAATTACTGGAGGTGGAAAAGAGGGCAATCCAACTGGGAGATCAAAAAGGACCATTGTCACTGTATGCAGAGGTAGAACGAGGAAGGCGAAGGTGCACTTGGGACTGAGCCTTGCGAAAGACGTCAGTACAGCAAGAAGGGCTTCTTCGTATATATCAGCAGGGAAAGGAAGGTAAGAGCTGAAGGCCAGAGAAAGTAAGCTTTCACCCCCTGGTTGCAGAGAGTTGAGTTATGGATAGGCTGGACAGACTCAACGCCCATAAACCCCTGGGCCCTGAGAGGATGTCGCCAAAGGTGCTGAGGGAGCTGGCAGATGTTGTTCTGCTGCCTTCCTCATCCTTGGATACGCGTGGAGAATGGGAGAGGTGTCCAAGGAGTGAAGGAAGGCCAACGTCACTCCATCATCAGCGAGGGAAAGGAAGAGGACGCGGGAAACCGTTAGCCAGTCGTTCTGATCTCCATCCCTGGAAAGGTGATGGAATAGGTCCTTCGGGTGGTCAGAACCAAGGATGTTAAAGGAAAGAAGTCCCTGAGGAGTGGTCAGCATGGATTCACCAAGGGTAGATCTTGCTTGGCCAAACTCAGAGCCTTTTACAATGACAGGGCACGATGGGTTTACAAGGGGAGAGCAGTGCATGTTATCAGCCTTTACTTATGGAATCATAGAATCATGAGGGTTGGAAAGGACCTTAAGATCATCTAGTTCCAACCCCCCTGCTGTGGGCAGGGACACCTTACGCTAAATCGTATCACTTCCGCAAGGCTTTTGGCAATGTCTCCAATAAAACCCTCGTAGGTGAGGTCAGGAGTGTAGGTTAAATGAACGGACAGCGAGATGGGCTGAGGACTGTCTTGAATGGCAGAGCTGAGAGCACTGTGATCAACAGAGTAGAATACAATTGGAGGCCTGCAGTCGGTGGGGGTTGTCAGGGACCAAAACGGGGTCTGGTCTAATTCAACTTTTTAATCAGTGCAGTGAGTGAAGGGCTAAAGTGACACCTCAGCAAGTTTGTGGCTGATGAGAAACTGGTGGCAGTGGCTGATGCATCTGAAGGCTGTGCTGGCATTCAGTAGTATGTGCACAGGCTGGAGAACTGGGCAGACAAAAACCTACAGAGGTTTCAGAGGGCAAGTTAAGGGCACTGCGTCTTGAGCTTCACCACAGACCAAGCAGAGGTTGGTGCGCTTGTGAGAAGAGAAGCAGTGGCAGGTTTCGTCAAGAGGTCTTTATTTGGTGTGAATAAATAGGTGAATAAATAGGTGGCATCGTGTGTGCCAATAAATAGAGCAGGGGTGTCGGGGAGCAGCGGGCGCAGGAGAGACGCGGGGTCAGGGCGTCTCTTGCGGCGGCTGTGTCGGAGGGTGCTGTAGGCCCGAGGCGGGTGCGCGCGGGCGCTGCCCCGGTGTTGCTGGTGTCGGGGCGGTGCGGGAGCGTGGGGTCGCTGGGCTAATTGGGCACGGTGCGGGTGAGGTTGTGCAGGTGCTGGAAGCAGAGGCGAGCTTCGAGGCGGACGTGGTCCCAGGCGCAGGCGCTGTGGTTGTGGGTGCGCAGGAAGTCCTGGATGTGTCGGAAGTATTTGTTGATGGTGAGCAGCGGGCTGCGAGGCCCTTGTCCCGGGAAGAGCGTGGCGTTGTCCGTCAGGCAGTGCTGGAGGCGCTGGATGCGGTGCTGGAGGCTGTTGAGGAGCTGGTGGCGTGGCTCGTTGTGCCAGTGCTGGGGGGTGGTGGGGCTGCTGAGGGTGTGGAAGAGGTGCTGGAGGATGCGGAGGGCGGTGGCGGCGGCTTGCTGCGGGTGGCTGATGTGCAGGAGGGTGTCGGGGAAGAGGGGCGCCTGCTGGTGTTGGCAGGGCGGTGTGGGGCTGGGAGCCATGGCCTGGAGGAGCTGGAGGCTGCGCCAGGGGAAGGTGTCATCGCGGGCAGGCCGGTGGTGGCAGGCGAGGCCGGTGGCGAGAGCCGTCAAGAGGAGCAGGAGCGCCGGGGCGCCGCAGCCCAGGTGGGGCTGTGCGGTTGCGGGCGTAGGCATGGTGGGGCTGTGGGTGCTGCCTGGGGGGTGCTGGGCAGGAGCGTGCCGCGTCTCGGTGGTGGTGCGGGTGGGCGCTGTGCTGGGGGTTCTGCCGGGTGGCAGCTTTATGTGGTGCCACCGCGGCTTCCCCTTCCTCGCTTTCCGCTTGCGGCCGCTTGCCGGTTGTGGTTTCCATTTTGGGCTGGGGTCTGTGCTGCTCCTGGGGAAGAGCCTTTTCTGGGGTGTCTGTGGGTGGGGAAGTCCTTGGCCGTGCTTTGTGGTTGTGTTTGGGTTGGTGCCGGTTATGGCGGAAGGGGTTTTGATGTAGCGGTTCGTGGAGGCGGGAAAGCTCAGGGGCAGCCACA